GTGGGAGGGCAGGGAGGGTGATACCATGATAGATGGGACATCATGGGAACAGGAAGAGTCAGGGTGCTGGGGAGGCTCTCAGGAATCCACAAGGTTGACTCCACCTGGGTCTGCTGGCAGTGGTCCAGAGGGTGCCTGGACTGGCCTACTCTGGTGAATGGTCTAGCAAATAACCTAGCTGTCATCATAGAGCCTTTGTCCAGTGACTGATGGAGGCAGATACAGAGATCCATGGCCAGGCACCAGGCTGAGCTCCGGGAACCCAATCGATGAGAGAGGAGAGAATCTGCAGGTGGGGGACGTGCAGAGATGACTGACCACACTAATGGAAGCCCATAAACTGTGGACTGGTGGCTGCGGAGCCCCATGGGACTGGACTAGGCCCTTTGGATATGGAAGATGGTTGTTTGGCTTGAACTGTTTGGGGGGGACCCAGACAGGGGGATCGGGATCTGTCCCTGGTGCATGGGTAGGCTTCTGGGAATCTGGCGCCTGTGGTGTGATATCTTGCACAGCCTTGGTGCAGTGGGAAGGGGCTTGGACCTGCTAGGCTCAGTGTGCCTGGCTCTGCTGACTCCCCATGGGAGACCTTGATTTGGGGGATGTGGGGATGTGGGGTGGCTTGGGAGAGAGGGCTGGGGGGTGGGAGAAAGGAGGAGGTGGGATCTGTGGGTGATATGTGGAGTAGAAAATTTCTTAATAAAGAAAATGGAAAAAAGAATATGATTACTACTATTATATTATTATTATCATTATTATTATTATTTTAACAGGTTCTCACATTGTGGTCACAGCTGGCTGGTATTCAGTGTGTAACCAAGGCTGGCTTCCATTCGAGGTAATCCTCCTGCCTCCTTAAGTGCTAGGATTACAAGTACTATGTAAACCACTGTTACATAGCTCTTTCCTCAGGATTGAAACAATCCCTCTTGGAGGCTCGTAGGATTCAGAAGGCTAAGAAAATTTATAAGGCTCAGGAAGCTCAGACAGTTACAAGATTGGGGTCAGGGAACACAGCTCAGGCAGTGAAGTGCTTGGGGTACAAGCTCTAGGAGCTGAGTTAGGTCCCTAGCGTCCATATAAACATCTCCATGTGGTGGAGTACACTCATAATCCCAGTGCTGGGGAGGCAGGCACAGAAGGTTCCCCGTGCCAGCCAGTCCGGCCTAGTCAGTGAGCTCCAGGGTCCAGTGAAGAGAGCTGAGGAATGGTGTCCAAGGTTGATGTCTTGGCCTCTGCACACATGTACACACGTATGCAACAACCTACATAGATGAGAATGTACACACACACAGTAAATAACAGAATTACAAGATTCATATGGCCCCTCCCCAAGGTTCTGTAAGCACTAAACAGTTGACTAGGAGAGAAGACTCTTCTATGCAGTTGCCTGAAAGCTGAGAACATCAAGGAGTGTTCCAGGGATGCAACTTTGATGAGTCATCATCTATGCTGGGACAGCGGTTGGGGGCCTTTTCTTGTGATGCAACGGCTTTTAGGTCACTCATTTCCTGTAAGTAACCCCAATCAACTAGACAGATTTGGGTGGAATCATTTGTTTGGGCTGTCATCAGTGCAAACAGATGTTTGCTCATGTCTCCCCAGGCAAAAGAGCCACCATGTTTGAAAAGAGTCTCAAGTAGCCACCATGCCTTTATGTTTACATTCTGAAATCTTCCTGTCCTTGGTAAGTGGTGGTACAATAAATGCAATTTTCTGAGGCAGGATCTATCTTTATATGTAGCTGTGATGGTTGATCTTCATTGTAGGTTTGACTGGATTTGTCGTTACCTAAGAGATACACTTTTGAGGATGGCTGTGGTGTAGTTTCCAGAAACGTTTGGCCTAAGCCAAATGTGTGTGGTACTAGCCCATGAACTATAGTCTCGGACTGAATTCAAGGAAAGGAGAGAAATTGAACAGCATGAGCATTCACTTGTTTCCCATCTGCAGACCTAAAGTGATCACTCACCTCCTATTTCCACTGCCATAGCTCCCCATGTCTCTTTCTGCCATGACAGACTCCCTTCAAATCATAAACAAAGTAAACCCTGGCGGTGACACATGCCTTTAATCTCAGCAGCCAGGAAGCAGAGCCAGGCAGATCTGTGTGAGTTCGAGGCCAGCCTGGTCTACAGAGCGAGATCCAGGACAGGCACCAAAACTACACAGAGAAACCCGTCTCGAAAAACAAAACAAACAAACAAAAAAGAAAACCCTTGTCACACTGGTGAGAAAAAACAGCTAATCCAGTACCTCTGGCTAGCATGAAACTGTTAGCCCAAGTTGGCCTCACTGCAATTGTTTCAGCCTCCCAAGCACAAGGATTGACTGTCTCTACTTTTCCTTTTCTTTGTTGTTTTTGAGAGTTCCTATAGCCCAGATTGGCCTTGAACTCACTATGTAGCCAGGGCCAGCCTTGAATTCTTGATTCTCCTTTCTCCACCCCCAAGTACTGGGCTTATAGGTATGTGGAATCATGTCGTTTTTTGCAGTGCTATGGATTGAACCTGGGCTTTCATACATGTTAGGCAAGTATTGTACCAATTTAGCTACATGCATGCTCCCCTTCTTTTTTTCCCCCAGTCTTGCTACATAGTCTTGGCTGGCCTCAAATTCTGTCCCTTCTGCTTCAGCCTCCTAAGTGCTAGGATATTCATAGGAACGCAGCAGCATGCCCAGCCAGGGTCATTCCCCCTTTTCATTTGTGTGTGTACATATGGTATTACATAGGGATATATAGAGGTCTGAAGTCAAAGTTGGTGATCATTCTGGATCCCTCTTCCACTTTATTCATTGAGGCAGGGTCTTTCAAACCCAGAACTCTTGACATGGTTAGCTATCTTGTGAAGGTGGACTTCTAGTTGGAACACCATGCCCACTAGCATTTCTTGTGGGTTATGGGGATCGAAACTCTGCTCTGCATGACTGCAACAGCAAATAATTTAACTGTCTGTATTCCCTGCCTCAGGTCATTCTTTTTTTTTTCTTCTAAAGATTTATGTTTTAGTATTTTTCCTGCAAGCCTCCATGTGCATCCCAAGAATGCCTGGGGCCTGAGGCCAGAAGAGGACATTCTTCCTCTGGAACCAGTGCTTGCAAATAGTTGTGAGCTGCCATGTGGGTGCTGAGACTTGAACCCAGGTCCTCTGGAAGAGCAGCCAATGTTCTTAACAACTGAGCCATCTCTCCAGGTCAGCCTGCATCATTCTTAAATAAAACCTTTGCTTTGGTAAATACCTTGGTGAAATTCTATCTATCTGGTTTTCACCATTTCTTTGCACCTCAAGTCCTTCACACACACACACACACACACACACACACACACACCTCTACCTCAATTTAAAGATATAAACTCCCTGCAAAGTATTGCAGTTTTGTACACTGACTTGACTTCAGGATTTCAGGATGGGGACTAGTCACAGGAAATACAAAAGCAGGACTAGCAGGTCAGAGATTTCCGCTTCACCTCACCAATGGCCAATAACTTCTCAGGGTTATATACTGAACTCTCCATAATGATCCAAAAGGACAAGCAAGGTTTAGAGTTCAAGAGCTCCAATCAGACATAGCTCCTGTAGATCATGGTAGCTCTGTGGCCCCACACCATTCAACTCTTTATCAATTCTTTTTTTTTCTTTTTTTAATTTTTCAAGACAGGGTTTCTCTGTGTAACCTTGGCTGTCCTGGAACTCATTATGTAGATCAGTCTGGCCTCAAACTCACAGAGATCTGCCTGTCTCTGCCTGCTGGGTGCTGCGTCTAAAGGCATGTGCTGCCACTGCCCAGCTAACTTTTTTTTTTTTTGGTTTTTTGAGACAGGGTTTCTCTGTGTAGCTTTGTGCCTTTCCTGGAACTCGCTTTGGAGAGCAGGCTGGTCTCGAACTCAGAGATCCGCCTGCCTCTGCCTACTGAGTGCTGGGATTAAAGGTGTACACCACCACTGCCCGGCTGTTTATTAAGTATCCTTTGTAGTAACTTCTATAATAAACATGCAAAAATTTCCCAGAATCCTCTGAAAGCCAAAAAGGACTTTAAGAACCCTGAATTATATGGCCTATTGTTTAGAAATAGTTAAAAACTTGGGGTGTGCCTGGCGGTGGTGGTGGTGGTGGTGGCGGCGGCGGCAGCAGCAGACGCACCTTTAATCCCAGCATTTGGGAGGTAGAGGCAGGCGGATCTCTTTGTTTGAGGCCAGCCTGTTCTACAGAGCAAGTTCCAGGACAGGCTCCAAAAGTTACACAGAGAAACCCTGTCTTGAAAGAAAAAAACAAAAAACAAAAAACTTGAGGTGCATACTCTTTATCCGTGTGAGGTGGGGCACAACCTTGGGGAAAAATTCACCCTTCGGGGTGGGACAATCTCCAGGCAGTGTCAGACTTGGAGGTCAGCTGGCACACAGTGTAGATCTGCTTGCTTGCTTGCTTGTATTTGTGCCAATTCACAGTAAAGGAAAAACTGAGTTTACATTAAAATTCGGAAATTTTCTGGCCTGGGCCTCTCCGTGGGGATGGTGAGTGGTGTGCGTCTCTAATCCTACCACCTGGGAGGCTGAGGCAGGAGGGTTGGGAATTCAAGGTCCACTTGGGCTACACAGTGAGAAGCTCTCTTACCTGACCCACTCCCCAAAAGACCAGAGTACAAGTCAACATGCTGGCCAGAAATCTAGGTTCTTGTATACATATTTGCATAGCACAAAAGGTCTACTATCATTTTAGCAATCTGAGATCATTCTGGACAAATGGTTTACTTACTGTTAGAAAATGTCTTCTTCACTACAGGTTTTCACCAAGTGTGACACCATGTATCCATTCAGTTCAAACAATCAAAATCAGATTAAAAAAAGGAAATGGATAAAGTGTACAATTATACTTTTTTCTAATCCATCACACTGAAGTTTAAAAACAAAAAAAAACCCGCACACAATTTCAGAACAGAATCACCTTTAACATCTAAGTAGTTAAAAATGTTAGTAGGAAAAAAACCAATTATATACACTCTTGGGTTGTTTTCGTGTTTTATTTTCTAATTGCTGTAGTTTGCATCTGATTTCTTTACATTGTTCCACGGATGGGACTCTATAGCAAAAGGACTCATTAAAGCATAAATGACACATTACCACAGCCAGCATTATTAGTAACTATAAACTTTCTCTGAAGAAATATAGAGCGGTTGGAATTCCATAAATAGCTGCAAGCAACTTAGAGACTCCCACCTGCTGAATTAAATAAGGATGGTGTGGTAGCAACTGCAGTGTCCACACAATACAAATATATATTCTACACGTTCATTCTATCACAGTAATTAAAGACTGCAAGCAAGATATGGTACACAGTGAACACAGGAGACATGCATCTTCTGTCTTACATGGTCCTGGATTTCCATGTGAAAAGCAAACACCAAGTGTGTCACACATACAAACGTCTGTTACTAATCCTCCACTAATTCTATAGTAGGTGTTGTTATCCTCCATATATCCCAGGACAGGCCTGTGAAGCTGAGGCAAGCTGGAAAGGTAGTGGTAGATACTTGTTAGGGCTGACCGGTGGTTGGGATACAGGACAACTGATCCCAGGACCCATGTTCTTCCTTTTCTATTTCTAGCACACTGTCTCTCAAGAAACTGGTAGAGGTGACCAGTATAGTCTCTTAATTGCTCAGTCTAGTGTTTACTTACACTTGTAATACAACTTAATGCAGATTTTGTTCTTTTCTGAACAAGGATGGAAAATGATGGTTTAAGGTAAACCACAAACATGAATATAGTGTGTCAAAGTCCATGCGAGTCCTACCAGCATATAAATGAAACTTATCCTTACTGAGCAGGATGAATATCACACACTAATACAAATCTTTTTAATCTTTATGAAAGGCAGGTTAACAGAACTGTCTTCATCCTGATACTTTAACTGTAAAGGCAGTTTATAATGGACATCATTAAATCTGTACAGAATACAAATTGAGTAGAAATCTAGCTATTTAAAACATGCTTTTATCTATTTGATTACTCACTCTGCAGTCAACACTGACAGTTTCTACCTATTAGAGATGTTGTTCAACACAGTAAAGTTTACTAAGACAATCGCGATTAAGTAACATTACAAGTCACAATTTTTAAGTGACAATTTATAGCTATGATTCCATACATGGGATGAGTAAACCGATGGCTATTTTCCAAATGAAATATAAAAATTCCTGTCACAAATACTTTGTAGTCTCCTAAAAGTAGTTCTCTTAAAAGTTAAGATGGTTAAGAAAGATTCAACAGGCAAACGACTAAATCTTGGCAAGTCTTTTTATACAGACGCTTGGTGTGGCTACTTACTCACTTTAGCAACACACCATGCTCATGCTCTATCAGGAATAAACTTCGTGAAAAACAAACCCTATCAAACTGGCTCACTTATGTGGTGTTGGGGATCAGATCAAGAGCTTGGTGTGAGACTGTCTAATTGATGAGCATTAACTTGTTACACCATCTTAGCAGGAAGAGGCTTTATTCTAGTTGGGTGTGCTTGTACACACCTATAACCCCAGCATTTGGGAGGTAAAGGCAGAGGATCAGAAGTTCAAGGCCGGCCTCAGCTGTTGGTATTTCAAGGCCAGAGTGGGGTACATGAGATCCTGTCTCAAAAAACAAAAACAAACCTCCCCCCCTCCACAAAAACAAAATCGCATAATTCTTATATTTCAAACATTTTATTTTTCTTTCTGGGCACTGCTTTATAGAGTTGTACTATAGAAGTCAAATTAAAAAAAAAAACCTCAATTTCCTTGAAGACCACTTCCATTCCTTATTTGAAATAAAAATGAATCAACTCCCATAGCAAACACACGGCAAAGAACTCTTCCAGGTAGCGTTTGCATACCAGACAACTGTATTCAACTATCTTCAACCAATGACTCCACATCGTCCGGGATACAGGAGCACTCATTAACGCTGCTACTATTTAGGCAAGAAAAGAGACAAAACCACCAGAAGGTACAGGAAACGGGCTCATATGTAACTTCTGAAAATCCTCCAAATCCCGTTTGTTATAGGAAGTAGAAAATCAGCCTTTGAGCTGTATCACCCATGTAGAGTTAAAACACTGCTCATAAACTAATGCATAACTATATACACTGCAAATTCAGTAAAAATGGTTTTTCATTTTTATTGTTGCTTTTGAGACAGCATCTTATGTAGCCCTGGTTGCTATTCAACAAAAATCCTCCAGTGCTGGGATCACAGGTGTATGCCACATCCAGCTGGTGAACACTTTTAAGGTCCAGAGGTCTAATTACTGATGAAGACAAGGGCTAGTTTAAGCCCTTGTTCTCAGATACATTCTGCCTAGAGAATCACTAGGAAACTCCTCAGAATAAGAAACAGACTACATCACTTCATCTTCCCTACTGTTGTTATGATACCTCTGATTTTGAAGCTAAGTAGGAAAACCTGAGATGAAGTCATAGTTAAGAAAGTGATTAGAGCCGGGCGGTGGTGGCGCACGCCTTTAATCCCAGCACTCGGGAGGCAGAGCCAGGTGGATCTCTGTGAGTTCGAGGCCAGCCTGGGCTACCAAGCGAGTCCCAGGAAAGGCACAAAGCTACACAGAGAAACCCTGTCTCGAAAAACAGAAAAAAAAAAAAAAAAAGAAAGTGATTAGAGCAGGGGGTGGTGCACACCTTTAATCCCAGCACTGGGGAGGCAGAGGCAGGTGGATCTCTGTGAGTTCAAAGTCAGCCTGGTCTACACAGTGAGTTCCAGGACAGCTAAACTATTATACAGAGACTCTGTCTCGAAAATCAAAAAAAAAAAAAAAAAAAAAAAGGGGTGGGGTGGGGTGGGGGGAGATTAGAGAAGATCTTGTTTTTTTGAAACCATGTAAAGGTGCATTCCTTTGTGTATTACTTTTCATTAATGAAAAGTTTTCTGGATGCTAGTAGAATACAAAGTCCACAAGGTGCATGATGGATCTCGGTTTTAAACTTGCATGCTTTCAGTGTGTACAGTGAATTCTGACTAGCCCAGCTCTAACTGTAGTAACTCCTAAATAAGAGCAAACCTAAATTCCCCGTAGAAAGACAATGGGACCCCCTTGGGCCCTCCCCAGACTGTCTACACAGTAAACTTGTCCCAAATGTAAAGTCAGAGTATACAAGCCTCTGTAGCATGCTCTTTTTTTCAGAAACAGGTCTTAGATTCAGAAATGAGAAAACATCTTTTCACTAAGTTTGTTTTTGAACTCTTGATCCTCCTGCCTGGACCTCACAAATGCAGGGTTACAGGTCATGCCATTCTATCAGGCTTACGTTTGTTATTCCCTCATTTTCCCCCAGTTCAGGGAAAGCCTGAAAAAGCATTAATTTATACTTTTGTCATATAATATATTGTTATGAACTTAAATCTTCACTTGCCTATATATTTTATGTGTTTATAAAGCACTCAATTGTAGCTTATGTGAATAAGACTCCTGAAAAAGCAATACCCCAACATAATCTTTCTTTTTGTTAAAAACATTCTACGCATATGAGTAAAACAATCTTTTCCTTGTTTGGGAATTTCCTATACACACTAGTTGTGAAAGGAAACCATCTCAATAATTAAAATAGTATTTCCAATGTTAAGACAACTGAGCACCACCTAGTGTTCAATTTCTGTAACTACTGACCTTAATTCAAAATTGGCATTAAAAACCAGTTTCTAAAAACATTTTGGAAGTGCCTTTCCTCCCCCAGTAAGTTGATGACTGCAGAATAAAATCATGAAAAGAACTTACATGTTATCAAAACTAGTATAAAAATAGCCACAGACTTAAATATGAAAAGCAGACCTATCATTTTTGCCTTTAAATAGATTTCTGCCAGGTGTGGTGGTACATACATATAATCTCAGCACCCAGGAGGCTGAGAAAAGAGGATCATAGTGAGTTTGAGGTCCACTAGGACTATAGTGAACTCCAAGCTAGCTTCAGATACAAAGTTTGACTCTGTCTCAAAATATAACAAAACAAAACAAAACACAAAACAGATTTCTGCCTCCATTTGTATCAAAATCTCTGGGCAACTGGAATATACACAAAGACTGTACAGTCAACAGCTATGCAAAAGGAGGGCTTAATCATAGTTTATAATGAGTACAAGGCAAATGGTTTATTCAAAACATCCATTTACTTACTGGAAGGGGTCAAAGTAGGAAAGGCAGTAATGTATTTTTTTTTCTTACATGATCTTCTTGAGTTTCATTACATCAAATGAACAAAGTGGGCTTAACCTAACAGTTAAGATATTATCAGTTTTGAAAGAAGCGACCTTAGTATTGAATCAAGTCTGCCTCAACAAATTACAATCATGGTTGTGAAAACTTTTCCTGAACGTCTATGATCAATTCCAAACTTGCAGGGCAATCTTCAGAAGGACTGGAATGTCAAATGTTGAGTTCATTTTAGATCTGAAAGAAAAAAGAACATTAAGTCAAAGGAAAAAATAGTTCTAAAAAAATCCTTTCCGTATGTGCAAATTCACGTGTGCCACTGTGGGTGCTCTGTGTGTGTGTGTGTGTGTGTGTGTGTGTGTGTACGTGTGTGTGTGTGTGTGTGTGTGTGTGTGTGTGTGTGTGTGTGTGTGTGTTGGGAGGACTGGAGGAAGAGGACCTCGGGTGTTGGTCCTCACTTTCAACCTTGTTTTTTCACCGTTGTAGATGTCAGACTAGCTGACTTAAGAGCTCCAGAGATTCCTGTCTCCAACTCTGACCTTGCCACAAAAGCACTAGGTTTAGAGAAGTTACTGTCGGCAGCTCTATGTGGAGTCTGTGGAGTTGAATGAAGATTATCTGGCATGCCTGGCAAGCACTTTATCCTGAGCCAATTCAAAAGAAAAGAACTTACATCCTAACACTCTGTGCATAAGGGAAATGTTGTCATAGGCTATATAGGAAATCAATCCAGTCTGAAGAGAAAATTCCCCAAGTAAGCTTTTCTCTATTGCAGCTCACTTTCAGAAATTCTGACTTCCATAATATTTTATGTGATACATGTTATTTTTCTAAAGAACATATATATCTGTGTGTGCAGGTACCCACCAAGACGGCACTGGATTCTCTGGAGCTGGAGTTATAGGCAGTTGTGAGAACCAAACTGAGGTCCTCTGCAGCAGTAGTAAGTGCTCTCAACCATCCAGCCCTCTCTGTAGTCTACTGGAATATTCTTTGTTGGTGGTGTTTTTCTTCTCCTTTTTAGTTTTGAGACATGGTCTCATTCTATCTATATCCTTGGCTGACTCAGAAATCCACCTACCTCTGTCTCCTGAGCACTAGTATTTAAGGCTTGTGCCACCATGCCTGGCCCCTGAGAACATTCCAAGGTTTCTTTGTGTAGCCCTGGCTATCCTGAAACTCACTTTGTAGACCTGGCTGGCCTCAAACTCACAAGAGATCCTGCTGGGATTAAAGGCGTGTACCACCACGCGGCACCTGAGAATATATTTAAATGAGGTTTGCTGTCTCCTTCCTTTTGCACTGCTTATTTGAGATTTTATTTTATATTTTACTTCTTAAACTAAATAAAAAAGACTAGTTTCTCTCTCTCTCTCTCTCTCTCTCTCTCTCTCTCTCTCTCTCTCTCTCTCTCTCTCTCATTTTTAGTTTCTTGAGACAAGGTTTCTCTGTGTAACAGTTCTGGCTGTCCTGGAACTTTTGCTCTGTAGACCAGGCTGGCCTTGAACTCACAGAGATCTATCTGTCTCTGCCTCCCAAGTGCTAGAATTAAAGGCGTGCGCCACCACCTGGCTCTAAGTTTTCTTTATTTGCATGTGTGTGCCTGTGTCTGCACTTATGTATGTGGGTCCAGTGGAGGCCAGAAGATGGTGTCAGATTCCTGGAAGCAGGAGTTGCAGGCAGTTGTGAGCTGCTTCCTCATGTGGGTGCTAGGAACCAAAACCAGTGTCCTCTGCATGAGCAATAAGCATTCTTAACCACTGAGCCATTTCTGCAGCCCTGATTTGAGATTTTCTATTTTAGGAGAAGTAACAGACATGAGGGAACATGACCTCTTTTGAGAACTACTTAAGTATGTCTTCAATCCTTTTCTTTCGATTTGGTTATGGGAGTACAGATAGAATACCTATTAACACTTAGAAAATAGCAGGAGAAATGTCCCCTAAGGGAAAAAACAGAGTTCTCAGGAACTCACTCTGTAGACCAGGCTGGCCTTGAACTCACAGAGATCCGCCTGGCTCCACCCCGAGTGCTGGAATTAAAGGTGTGCACCACTGCTGCCTACCTACAAACTGTACTCTTATTTAAAGCAAACAAACAACCCCCCACGAAATGGCCTGAGGCTCTCTGGAACCCACATGAACTGACCTCTACATGCATGCCCTAGCGGGAGTGTGTTTGTCCTTCCATAGAAACACACAAAATAAAGCAATGTTTCAAAATAATGTTCCTAACAATGTAAATTCTGGGGTGGAGATGGCTCACTGGTTAAAACTGTCACCTCTATTGTAGTTGTGTTACTGGCACCCACACTGGGTGTATCACAACTGCCTTTAACTCAAGCTCCAGAGGATCCGACTCCCTCTTCTGGTCTCCATGCACACCCAACCCACACATACTACACTTGAGTAAAAAAGCAAAATAAAGATATTTTAAAAAGGAGAACAGAAATTCAGCATCACCCTCCCCTTCACAGACCCACTGCTTCCTATTTTTCTTTTCTTTCCCTCTCCTCCTCTCTTTTTGAATTACTAGGTAATTACTCAGGGCCTTGTACATTCTATGGAAGTACTTTACTACTGAGCTACATCATAAGAAAAGGGGGTAGGGGAAGGAATGCTTTTGGCTAGGCTCAAGATCCCCAAAGAAAACTACATTAAAAATGTTTTACGGGTGGTGGTGGTGCACGCCTTTAATCCCCTCACTAGGGAGGCAGACCCAGGCAAATCTTTGTGAGTTCAAGTCCAGCCTGGTTTACAAAGTGAGATCCAGGACAGGCTCCAAAAGCTACACAGAGAAACCCTATCTCGAACAAACAAACAAACAAACAAACAAAAAAGTTAAAAAAAATCACTTTCTATTATGGTGTATCCCTTAAAATGTTATTTATTTTTTGTGCATATCACACCTGTGCCTAGTGCCAAAAGGAGACATGAAGTCCCCTGGCACTGGAGTTACAGATGGTTATGAGCTAACATGTGTTTTTAAAAATGTATTTAGTGAGGCTGGAGAGATGGCTCAGTGGTTAAGAACACTGGCTGCTCTTCCAGAGGACCAGGGTTCAGTTCCCAGCACCCACATGGCAGTTCACAGCTGTCTGTAACTTCAGCTCCAGGGGACCTGATGCCATCACACAGACATACATGTGGGTGAAACACCAATGTACATAAAATAAAAAGTTATATGCATTTTTAAAAAGCCCATTTGTTAAATAAAATAAGAATCTTTTAAAAGTATTTAGTTTTACTTTTTCATAAATGTATGTGTGTTTGTCAACAGAGGCTAGAAAAGGGCTTCAGAGCCTTTGGAATTGGAGTTACAGGTAGTTATGAGCTGCCTGATGTGTATTCTGGGAACTACAGTTGGGTCTCTACAAGAATAGTATGCACTCTTAACTGCTAAAACATTTTCTCCAGCTCCTGAAACGTTTTTGTTATGGTAGTATTATATTGAAAGCTGGGTGTGGTGCAAGGTATTGCCATGTAGTTCTGGCTGGCCTGGTATTTGCTGGTATTGCAAAACGCAGGCTGACCTCAAACTTGCAGCAATCAGCTGGCTTCAGCCTCCCAATTACCAGGATTACAGGTATGTGCTACCACACCTTGCTAACAGTTTGACCTCTAAATAATTCTTATGATTTAACCCACAGCCAAGTCTCAAAATACACTTTTATTTGTATATATTAATTGGGCTAAGTAATGGTTTTCATCGTGACATTTCATACAGGCAAACATTTTGCCTCTACCCAATATTCACCTACTACCTTTTATCTCTTCACCTTCATCTTCTTCCTCCTTCTGTTCCTCCCACCCCCAAATATATACACTCAAATGTCTTATATTCCCAGTATTAGAGGAATTTAATGGAAAGGGCCAGTGTCTTTGTATGTAACTCATGAACAGAAACCAGAAAAAGCAGGATGTATCTACTTACATCATCAATGTCTTCATCATCATCCCCAATGTCATCAAACTGAATTTCATCATCATCTCCAGGACCAAATGTATCAGTTTCATTGATTTTAGCTAAAAAAAAAAAAACATACAAAAGATACTAATAATATAATCAAAATACTGACTTCCAACTTTCTACTAATCTTGCTATATGGAGCAAAATATTAAAACATTGAGAGTATTTTAATTTTCTTTTGTTCACAAGAGTGATTTATCAAGGCAAGTTCTAACTGTATTAACTCTGAAGCAATTATACCCTCCCGGAATGCTTTAGAAGTTTGTATACATACTGAAAACTTTATTTCCTATCTCAAAAAAAAAAAAAAAAAAGCCGGGCGGTGGTGGCGCACGCCTTTAATCCCAGCACTCGGGAGGCAGAGCCAGGCGGATCTCTGTGAGTTCGAGGCCAGCCTGGGCTACCAAGTGAGTCCCAGGAAAGGCGCAAAGCTACACAGAGAAACCCTGTCTCGAAAAACCAAAAAAAAAAAAAAAAAAAAGGAAAAAAGTAGGTTACTTTAGGAGGGAGAAAGATTTGAGGAGTCATTAATGGACTTGGGATTAGGGACAGTTTCAAGTGTCCAGAAAAGTTAACTCCTGATCAAAATGAACCATACAGAAACCATCAATCAAACAAGCAACAAACACTAAGAAGAAAAGATCAACTGATTCCTACCCATCATTAATCAGGAAGAAACATTTGGGCAAATCATACTTTTCCCCAGGGAATGAAAAGGAACCAGGCATACTACTCAACCCCCAAATATCTTACTGTTTCCTAGATCAAAATGGCAAGTTTATAATTCTCAGTAGGGTCTTACTTGTTACAAAAAGTCATGTTTTCATGAGAAAATACTTAAAAAAAGTAACTGCTATGTAAAAAATAAGACTTACAAAACAGTATATAAATTAGAATTTCCCTCTGATAAGGTTATATAGGAGGCTTGTATTTTGAGGAGGAAAACAACCCATACTACTTAATCACTGCCCCTTTACACATATAAAGGACAGACTCTTGAAGGATGTTTTTCAGGAGTGCTAGTCATCCAACTGAAGTCCTGAGGATGCTAAGACAGTCACTACTGAAAGTGCATGGCCAACTTTTCTTGAAGGTGTTTTAAAATACCACAAGAAATAATTCCTTTGGCCAACACTGTAATTTCTCATTAAATACACTCTATCAGGAACAGAATTTTAGTAACTTCTTTCCTGTGGTATCTAGTATGAATTATAAGCAGGTATACTTAACTTTAATCATGTAAACACAAAAATAAAGAGGAGCAACAAAATTTCATTCTCTAAACACTAGCAGATAACCTAAAAACTACGACAAGGTAATAATAACTCAGTCATTACCATGCTCTGGAAGCTCGCCATACGCCTTGAGACTTCTAGCTTCATCTGCGTTGTATTTTAAAATGACATCGGCTTTGTTATCCTTAAAACAAAGACAAGTAATTTTCTGATTATATCACACTTTTATCTGTTATGTCATACACTACTTTCAAATTGAATTAAAAAAAACTAATCTCAATGTTTTGCTATAAAATCCTCCTCACCTTCCTTAGGTTGAAATCAGAAGCAAGTTTTAGGAACTTAACTGAGCAATGGTTAAAAATTCAGGAAAGATATAGCTCACTTCTGTAACAGCAGAACGATATCTTTTATATTATTTATAATTATCCTTTAATCAGAAGCACAAATGCCCCCCTGGTTCTACAATGTACAGACTGATCCAACACCACAAGTCAAAGACTAAGACTTTGTATCACAGCCTAAGGAATTTAAAAAATGTGTGTGTATATACACACATGTATGTGTGGGTATCTGTGGAGGCTAGAAGGGGATATCAGATCCCCTGGAACTGGAGTTACAGGTGGATAGGAGCCACCTCATGTCGGTGCTGGGAACCAAACTCTGGTCCTTTGTAAGAGCAGCAAGCATTCTTAACTGCTGAGCCATCTTTCTAGCCCTGATCTAAGGAAATAAATACACCTTTTCATATATATGTTAAGTACAACTATAATGATTATTATTAATCTTGTCAATTTGACAGGATTTAGAATCACGACAAAAACAAATCTTTAGGTCTGTCTGCAAGTGAATTTCTACATTAGGTTTATTAAGGTAGGAAGGTTCACCCTAAGTGCAGTGCTATTCTATGGGCTGGGGTCCTGGAATGAATAAAAAACTGTAAGATAAGAATACTAAACTGGGTTGCAGTGGTGGACGCCTTTAATCCCAGCACTCAGGAGGCAGAGCCAGGCGATCTCGCCCTGTAGACCAGGCTGGCCTTGAACTCACAGAGATCCACCTGGCTCTGCCTCCTGAGTGCTGGGATTAAAGGCATGTGCTGCCGCCGCTGCCACCCTACTATGTATTTCTTAAAATGGATGCATGTAGAGGTCAGAGGACAACTTTGTGGAATCCATCCTTTCCTTCCATCCTCGGGTGGGTTCTGAGTTCTAAACTCAGGTCATCAGGCTTATGTAGCTGCTCACTGGCACCGAATTTGTCTTTGTAATTTCTTTTTTAACTCTTATTTCTTCTGTGTGTACAAGACACGATGCCTTGAAATGTTTACATTGCCTTATTTGAGAAGAATTTCACTCCTCCAAGGGTGAAAAATGGGTTGCTTCACTTTCAAGGGCACTGTAATCTAAACAAGTACTTTTAAAATTGTGAAAAGTGTACAGAAAGAGGGTGGTGGATAGTAAGAACTTGAACTTTCTTTTCTTAAATTTTCTTTTAGATTTATTTTTGAGTATGAATGTTTTGCCTAGATATATGTATGTCCACCACATGTGTGCCTGGTGCCCACAGAGGTCAGGAAGCATCAGATCCCTTGGAACTGGAGCTATTGATGTGGTGTTAATACTGAAAATCAAACCCAGATAGATCCTCTGTAAGAGTAAGTGTTCTTCATGGCTAAGCTATCTCTCTAGCCCTAAGAACCTGAATTTCTTCCCAGCTCCCAGAAAACAGTAATGCTTCATTCAATCTCTGTGGACCACTCTCAAAGTGGCAAAAGAAAGAGAAAAGGATCATGGGAGATTAGAGTCAGTGTTAAACCTGTCTGAATTTTAGTGTCCTTTCTAACAATAAGCCTTCCTTCTAGGGTTACTGCTAAGATCTAGAAAGAACAAATGGCTTATGGATTTGGAGCAGCTTTTCTCAACAAAAGCACTAATGCTAATTCTGAGCTAGATCATCTTTGTTGTGGGATGCTCTGCATCAGAAGGTGTTCCACATAACCAGTACTCTAACTACATACCATTTGGTAAGACCCTCACTCAAGTTATGGTAACCAAAGTCTCCAAACATTGCCTCTGACCCTCTGAAGGGAACCACCCTCAGAGAACCCTATGGTTTGAAATAAAGATGTCAACACTTTAATCTGAAACACAAAAGTAAAAACCTAAATATGATCAAAGCCATACAAACAGAAATGTAATACAAGGGGGCCAGCAATAGTTGTGCATACTTGTAATTCCAGGATTGGGGGAGAGGGGCAGGAGGCTCAAGAACTCAAGGTCATCCTCAGAGACCCAATCTCAATACAGAGAGAGAGAGAGAGAGAGAGAGAGAGAGAGAGAGAGAGAGAGAGAGAGAGAGAGAGGCGAGCGAGCACGTGCATGAGCGACTGACCAGCTGCCTCAGGATCCTGCTGCTATGACCAACCATAATGGACTGTCCCCCCCAAACTGAGCCAAAATAAACACATTCCTCTTTTTGCTTTTGTCAGTGATTAGAAAGCAAATATGTCAGGCTATATGCCACCTGTGGGATATAGCTGGATTCATTCAGCTGTAAAACCCTACAATAATAGGTACTAGATTTTTAAAGATCTATAAAGTAAAATAAAAAATGGAGAACTAAAAAAAGAGCAAAACTACCACATAGTAGTATGATCTTTTATAATTTATTTTTATTTTATGTGCATTAGTGTTTTGCCTGCATGTATGTCTGTGTGAGGGAGTTAGATCCCCTGGAACTGGAGTTACAGACAGTTGTGAGCTGCCATGTGGGTGCTGGGAATTGAACCTGGGTCCTCTGTAAGAGCAGTCAGTGCTCTTAACCACTAAGCCATCTTTCTAGCCCCGTATCATTTATTCTAAAGGGAAAACTTCCAATAGTAAAGGTAAGAAAAGAGACCATTTAACTCTATAAAAACTGTTTGACTCCTTAGACTGGCATCTGGGAACCATACATAATGCCAGGACACCAAGCATAATACCTAAAATACAATGGACAGTTAGGAAATGGCCCATCAAGTTCAAGCAAATCAACAACAAATTTCAAAATGATTCTCACCTGGTAATCTCGGAGGCCCACCAATATGATGTCTGAGGTATTTATCCAAACCTACAAAAGAAAAGTCATTGCATAATATATTTTAAATAAAGCAGAATCAAGAAATTTCAGAGATGATTCACTTAGAAACAGATGAGTTCCCAAATCACTTGGCTATCTATGAAAACAGAAAAATGCTGTAGTTTTCTAAATCTCTATCTTTTACCCACCCAGATGTATACAGCTTTCATGATCACTTTCCCTGTGAAGGACTGATAAACAAAATAAAACAACCCTGAACCTCTCTCTCACTCAGAGCCGGGATTTCCCAGAACCAAAAGGGCCATTTACCAGCGGGCTTCTTTTATTTCTCCTTAAAACTGGACTACTTCTCCTGCCCTTTCCCGTTCATAATCTCAAGGTTTTCTAAAGCCAGGGTTACTTGTTTTTCAGAATGTTCCTCAAATTAGATTTGTTGGCTATTTCCTAATGATTCAGGCCATTTTGGGCGGGGATATAACACAGGTGAGGCAAATGATTCTTCAAAGGATGTAATCTGCAAAATGACCACTATGGTCTTGTACTGGACTGACACAAATATCCTTAGGTCCATAAAATCAGTAGAGGTGGGAGGCTGACTTGTAGCTCAGTGGTAGAGTGTGGTTGTGCTTAATGTTAAGAGGCCCTGGAGTGGCTCCCTCACAACACACACACACACACACACACACACACACACACACACACACACACACACACACACACACACCCCTGTAGAGGCATTTCCTCTACCCTCAACATTTTCATATTGGAATAAAACAAATGTTCTATCTACACACTTACTTTTTTTCTCAACTTCCCTCTGATGTGGCATAGTCTCTTTACACCATCGAAACACATTGCTTCTAATCGTCCGTTTCCCAACATTTTGATTACCTGAGCATATTCTACATGGATGGGGTAGGGAGAAAAAAGGTACGAAATATTGCTCACTTTTTTTGATGAAAGCAACTTTTCATGTCCATTGAAGTTTGAAAAGAGCATGTGGCTGCACTGGTTAGGGATAAATATACACAGGGCAAATATAAAATAAATAGAAGGGAGTCAAACACTCAGCTAGTTAATGGTTGAACCAGAAACAACACTTTGTAATATAACAAGCTGGGTCTGTTATTAGATGTTTTAATTATCTACTCGTTTTCAGTAAGGAGACAGACTGACTACTGGCTGCCCTTGTGACCACGCTTTACTTGTAGAGATCAAAGGTACCATGTCCCAGTATGTACACTATACTTCATAAAGCTCACATTCATATCTTTAATGTTTTGTATTCCTTATTTCTCTCTTTGAATCTTTAGAGCAGTCTCATGGAATCAGTATAAGTACTTTAAATGTTAGTGATATCCTTGCTGAATTAGTATAATAGTAATTATTCTCAGAAAGCCAGAATTATCTTTTACTTGGGTAAAATGCCAAATTATTCTCATTGTCCTAAGATGGGGTATCACCACGTGGCCTTGGTTATCCTGGAACTCAAGAGATTCACATGTCTGTCTCTGCCTCCCGAGTGTTGGGATTAAAAAGGTGTACATTACCATGCCTGGCCTAAAATGCCAAATTCTTAACCATAATCTTTTAAAAAAGATAATACCCTTAGTCCCAGCACTTGGGAGGCAGAGGCAGGCGAATCTCTGAGTTTGAGGCCAGCCTGGCTACAGAGTGAGTTCCTGGACAGGCTCCAAAGCTACACAGAGAAACCCTGTCTCAAAACAAAACAAAAACCCAGAAAAAAAAGATAATACCCAACTGTCTGTACAAATAAACAAACACTGACAGAGGCAGGAAGCCAGGACTCTAGTCTTAGTCAGAAAATGTTCGATGCTCAACCCGGGCAAACAAACAAAGAAAAATCTAACAAGAGCCCAAGTTCTCCAGCCTCTTACCTTGCCCATCCTCTTTGAAGACCAGCTCTCGCTTTTCAGATTCATTCTCATTCTTTCCTCTGCGTCTGTTTTTACCTCCTTTTCCTAGTGGGTTGTTAAAAGAAAGAAAAGGTGTCAATTATCTGCAAAACATCAAGTGTTAAACCTATACTGTTTAACAGACCTAGAAAAGCATCTTTAGAAGTCAATTAATTTAAAAATTAATGTGGTCAATCATGTTAAATTTACTGTGTTCAGGTACATCATGTTACCATGTTACTCTCTCCACTCCTCATGGAATTTTCTTTGGGGATTTTGCATCTTAAATAACAACCTCATTTTTTTATTGAAAATGTTTTTCATATAATATATTCTGACCCCCCCCCCCAATCTCCCAGTTCCTCCCCACCTCCTTCCCATCCAGATCCACCCACTTTCTGTCTCTCATGAGAAAATGAACAGGAATCTAAAAAATAAAAATAAAATAAGACACAATAAATCAAAACCAAACAAATTGGAATATGACAAAGCCAAACAAGAAAAAGAGCCAAAGAAAAGCACAAGAAGGGGTTGGGGATTTAGCTCAGCGGTACAGCGCTTGCCTAGCAAGCGCAAGGCCCTGGGTTCGGTCCCCAGCTCCGGGGATAATAAAAAAAAAAGAAAAGCACAAGAAATGCATAGACACATACACACACACACACAGGAATCCCATAAAAACCCACACCCAGAAGCCATACTATACAAGCAAAGGAGCTATTAAGTAAGGTATTAAAAAAAAAAAGCTCTGACAGGACATGTGATAAAGGATCCTCCAAAGATGCCACTGAGTTCCTTTTGTGTTGGCCATCTACTGCTGGGCATGGAACTGGCTCTTCGGAGTGGCTAGATGACCAGTGGCTAATGCTCTTAACTACGTGAGAACGCCTTCCGTTTACTTTGTCACAACCACCTTGAATATTAACAGTTATTGATTTCCAGTTTATCAGTAAGTTCACTAAAGTTCACAGATTAAATAACTCACTCAAAATTTCAATCCATGAGCTCGGGACCCCAAATACAGCCCTAATCCTTCCTTGTCCTACTAAGAGCTCTCACATTAGGGCTCCTTTCTGGAGAAGATTGTCACCATAATCTTAACCACATGGGCCTCATCTTTCTTCTTTCTTTCTTTTTCTTCCTTCCTTCCTTCTTTCTTTTTTTTTTTTTTTGACAGGGTCTCACACTCTAGCCCAGGCTAGCTTTGAAATTTGGGCAGTCCTTCTGTCTCAGCCTCCTGAATGCTAGGGATTACAAGTGTGAGCCACCACAGTGAGTCCTGATAAATTTCGCAAAAACACCTTGCCTTACTCGTACCTGACCCCCTATGAAAGAAGAGCTGGTAAAAAGATGACAGGAGAGAGAAAAATGAAGTTATTGCCACTGGAATGGAACATATTGATGGTATGAAGACTAGTAATAGTTAAAGATTCTGAACTTTATCCTTTAAAATGTACCATACCTGAGACAGTTTAAGTTTAAAAGTAAAGTGTTAATTTGCCTCTAGAGCCCCCTTTAAAATTTATTTAGTGTTTATGGGTGTTTGGTGTTCATGTATGTCTGTCCATCACGGGCATGTCCATCCAGTGCTGAAACAGGATACCCCACAAATGCAGTTACAAACAGTTGTAACCTGCCACGTGGGTGCTGGGAGTTGAACTGAAGACCTCTGGAAGAGCAGCCAGTGCCCTTACTGCTGAGCCATCTCTCCAGCCCTACATATTTTAAAGGGTTCACCATACCAAGCCTCTCTTACTCTTTTTTTTGTTTTTTTTTGGTTTTTCGAGACAGGGTTTCTCTGTGTAACAGTCCTGGGTGTCCTGGAACTCCTAGCTCTGTAGACCAGGCTGGCCTCGAACTCACTGATGAGATCCGCCTGCCTCTGCTTCCCAAGTGCTAGGATTAAAGGCGTGCGCCACCACCGCCCGGTTAGCCCTATGTACTTTAAGGGTAAGCATATAAATAGTGGCACTATACAATGGGCTATTATACAGTAATAAAAATGTGGCGGCGGCAAATGCCTTTAATCCCAAGTGGATCTCTGTGAGTTTGAAGCCAGCAGCCTGGTTTACAGAGTGAGTTCCAGGACAGCCAGGGCTACACAGAGAAATCCTGTCTTGAACCCCCCCCAACCCCCCAAATGAAATGAGCAAGATTGGTATAGTGGTGCTTGCCTGTAACCCCAAGCAATACATTCTTCCCCTTTCTATTTTATTGCCACAAAATCAAATCCTCTTCAAATTCTCTTTCGAAAGAATGAAGGCCAGATATGTTGGGGCACAACTTTAACCCTGGCACTTGGTAGGCAGAGGCAGGTCAATCTGTAAATTTGAGGCCAGCCTGGTCTACATAGTGAGTTTCAGGACAGCCAGGGCTATACAGTGAGACCCTGTAACAAACAAACAACAGCAATAAAAAAGTAAAGAATGAAATGAGACCAAGCCTGAGTGTATGACAAAACAGTAGCAAACAGAATAACCAGTCTTTTCTTTTTAACCCACTTTCTTTCTAAAAGACTATCTAGTTCTTAAGCTCAATCACAATTCTCAAATTCATTCTTTAGAGGTGTTTCAGAGAAATAGCCCAGGTAGGATCTTTCTTAAAATATACTAGGCTAGTGACTAGATGTGATTTATTGTAGAAGTTCTGTCTCAGTGGGACCAAAGAGGAACCTACTATTCACTTAGGGGTGGAGTCACCAGAGGGGAGATGAGTAAGTCCATCAAGTATTTATTGAGCATCTTTTAGGCTAAGTGCTATCAAGGCAATGAGATTATGACTGACACCATTCTCATCCTTTTAGGGCTTACAATTAGTATGGGAACTGGAAATCTTGTCACTAGAATTAAGGTGAGAATAAGACACCTCACCTGTTGAAGTGATCCAGTTGCCATCTCAGAATAAGGAAGTCTACACATAGGAATTTTAAAACTTTGAACATATTATACCTATAATCACACTTTTCTCAGGATAATCCGTAAAAATCCTTGCTACACCAGGCGGTGGTGGCACACACCTTTAATCCCAGCACTCAGGAGGCAGAACCAGGTGAATCTCTGTGAGTTCAAGGCCAGCCTGGTCTACAGTGACATCCAGGACAGGCACACCAAAATTAAACAGAGAAACCCTGTCTTGAAAAAAACCAAAAAAAAAAAAAAAAAAGAAAAAAGAAAAAAGAAAAAAAATCCTTGCTACACAAAAAAACTGGCAACCTTGTTTTTTGAGGCCCTGAAGTGGGGTGGGGGTGGGGGACAGTGAATTCAAGGTCAGCCTGGGCCACACAGCAAGACTCAAATCAACTTGTTCACAAAACTGTGACCAAGTACTCCGAGGGCTAATGTGAATAGTGACAGGTATAAAGAGTAATTCAGTAGACTCCCAGGCCAACCTTCAAGCATTAAAGAGAACACTAGCAGACATGGGGCAAGGGAGGTGGTCCCAAGGATGAATTATCAAAGACTTCGTTTTAAAAAATGTGTGTGTGATGGAGTGCCCAGGTGGGTCAGAAGAGGGCACCGGATCCCCTAGAACTGAAGTTACAGGCAGTCATGAGCTGCCCCATGTGGGTATGGGAGCCTAATTTTGTTTCTCTTAACCAGGAAGCTATCTCTTCTGCACAAAGAAAACTTCATTTTTATCTTCTTTGTGTAGTCCTGGCTGTCCTGGAACTCAGAGATTCTACTGGCCTCTGTCTCCCAAGTGCTGGGATTAAAGGCATGAGCCACCACCGACTGGCCCAGGGCTGGGTAATGTGTTCCTCTCTTGTAGGAAATACAAGTTTTTCACTATCTTTACTTGCACAATTTTTGAGAAGTTATACGGACAATGAGTACGGCAAGCCTGTAATTCCAGCTACTTGGGAAGTTTAAGCAGGAGAATCCCAAGTTCAACGTTAGTCTCGGCTATTAAGTTCGGGTTCAGCCTGGGGGCAGAGCAAAGCAGTAGGGTCCTGCTAAGGATAGATTTGTTCCTACAAAAATATCTACTATCACAAAATACTGTTAGTATATAAAAATGAGAATGACCTTAGGAATGCTGTATTTTTACTTAGATTAGGCTCTTCATTTTGGAGATCCCAAATTAAAGTACCCTCATGACTGATAATTTGAGAACATTTGTTCCCGGGATGGAGGGAACATCAAAGGTTTTTATTTTTCCATCAAAACAAATACATGACCTGAAGCAAAAGTGGAAAACTTGGCTAAAACGGGTCAAGTGCTCTGGGGTGGGGGCGAGTTAAGCCCTGTAAAGCCATGGAGTAAAGTGATTCTCTCGAGACAACTTTAAAAATGCATCGAAGTATTGACCACTGGCTACTCCGGAGCAGCATCAACAGTATCAAGTAAGTGTCCATAAAGAAGCCTATGCAGGAGGTGCCAGATGGGCACGAAAGCAAGCAGGGCATTACCCTTTTTCAAAGTTCAGAGTCGCTCCCAGGGCTTAACTCCCCACGTGCCGGATGCCCAAGAAGCCCGAGGCAGGTGTTCCCACGGGTCCCCTTGGCGCCGCGGTCGGTGTGGCGCGAATCAGGGGCACAAGCCCACATTCTCACACAGGAGGCCCTACAAAAAAATGGCGTCGGCTCCACCCCAATGTAGCCAAACTGGGAACCCGGAGTAACTTCCTTGCGCCTCTGCCGAGCCCCGAGTAGGACACAGAGAACGTAGCCAGAGGAGAGGCAAGGAAAGATGGCAGGAAGGTCACTGCGGCCTGGGATGACCTCGAGGCCGCGAGCTGGACCAGGGACGCCGGCGGGGAGCGAAGCCGTGGTCCCGGCGTCGTTACCTTTATTCTTGGGCATGGCGGCAAAAACGGGCAGGCGGCGTGTGGGACCGTGCTCCGGAAGGCGGCAGGAGCGGCGGTGACTCCGAGGGGCGACGCGGAGAAACGCGCGCGATGAAGACTATGCGGGAGGCCGAGAAGCGTGCTCGGAAGAGGCTGGTCGCCGGTGCTTCCGAGAGCCGCCTGTGCCCACGCTTGGCAGTGGCAAATGGCGTCGCGGCTGCAGACGGCGCTTCTCCCCGCCCTCCTCCTCCCCCATCTGCGGGGCCGGCCTCCCGCCCTCCCTCAGCCCTACGGCGCAGGCGTGGCCGAGAGGATGCCTTCTGGTGGGAGCCAAGGGAGATGCCTGCTGGGGAGGGGCTCACTGCCAAGGGAGGGCACGCAGTGGGTGGAGCGAGGCCCTGAAGTCCAGAAGGGGCTGCCCCGGGGCCCTGCGTCACAGTGGAGGAGTGGAGGGGAAATTGAGGCAGTGCAGGATGCTGGCTTGGCCACCATCTGCTGACTCCTAGCCAAGTAAGTCCCAGCTTGACAGGCTGCAGACTCATAAACCTCATAGTTAGCTGAGTTTTAATATGACTCTTTTACTGGCCCAGGCAGGCTGGAAAGTCTGAGGGGGAAGGGAGAAGGCCTTATGCCCTCCCTTTCCAAACTTTAATTGAATATTTGGATGGTACAGAAAAAAAAAATCTGTCCTCCCTAACTTTCTGTAGCCAGGTCTGTTGTTTATTACCAGCACTTAATAGAATGTCTGCATATAGTAGGTTGCTCAGTCGATATTAGGGACTGAACCTCCCACAATTCACGCTAAGTTCTAACTCCGAATACCTATGTATATGACTGTATTTGGGGGTAAGGTCTTTAAAGAAGTGATTATATTGAAATGAGGTCCTTAGACTTGACACCAAGTTAGTATGTCTTGGAAAATGACATTAAGCCGGGCATGGTGACACAGGCCTTTAATCCCAGGACTGAGGAGACAGAGGAGGGTAAATATATCAGTTAAAGGCCAGCCTTTACATAGTGAGTCCCTGTCTCAAAAACAAAAACAAAACAAAGGCAATTAGCACCTAGGCATAAAGGAGAACACTTCCCAGCCACTAATCACCTGTAAGCCATGGAGACCTCAGAAGAAATCAGACTTGTCTTTACCTTGATCTTAGAGTTGAAGCCTTCAAAACTGAGTAAAAGTAGTAACCAGGCCTGGTAGTTCACACCTATAATTCTAGCACATGTGAGGCTGAGGAAGGATTGCTGCAAGTTTGGGGAAAAGCTAGGCTACATAGTTTCAGACTGTGGAGAGGCCCAAAACAGCTTGACCACACAGCTGCCATGACAGGTTTGCTGGCAGGCAACACCCCAATCCAGGAAAAGCCATAAGCTGACACCACCCAGGGATCCACCAGCATCTAAGGGGAAGAACCTGACATCCCAACCAGTCCAACCATTCAGATTAGATAAGATCGATAGATGTCCATGAGCCTAGCACAGACCTATTTCCTCTTTTTATCAAGATACCCCCTAGACAAATGTCAGCCAATCAGGGTCCTGAACCCTGGAAATCCCCTCACCCCAACCTCTGTTACGATAAAAAAAAAAAACCCACCCTGCCCAGGTTTGGAGCTCTCTGCTCTCACAGCTGAGTCAGACAGACAGACAGACCAAGCTCGAGGTTGAATAAAGGCTCTTTGCTTTTACATATGGGATTTGGTCTCTGTTGTGGTCTTTTGGGGGAGTCCCCTCGATCTGGGCATAACACAGACTAGCCTGGGCTATGAATGTAGTGAGACTCTGATTACAAAACAACACAACATTTAAACAACCCATTACCCATTCTCTGGTTCTTTGTTTTGGCAGTCCCACCAAGGAATAACTGCATGGCTACTCAGAGCAAATAGCTTCACTTCAAAACAGGCTTATTTAGGCCGGCAAGATGACTCAGTAGGTAAAAGCACTTACCAGGAAAGCCTGGCAACCTGAGTTCAGTTCCTGAAACCAATGTGAGTGTGGAAAGAGAGAACCAACGCTACAAAATTGTCCTCTGACCACCATACATACCCCCCATTCCAGTAATAATATGTAGAAATTTAAAAGTAGGCTTATTTTTTTTGTCTTTTTTTTTTCGAGACAGGGTTTCTCTGCAGTTTTGGTGCCTGTCCTGGAACTTGCTCTGTAGCCCAGGCTGGCCTTGAACTCACAGAGATCTGCCTGGCTCTGCCTCCTGAGTACTGGGATTAAAGGCTTGTACCACCACTGCCCAGCAAAAGTAGGCTTATTTTAAATAATCTTTCTGGAAACATCAGTGTTTTAACATTGTCTCTATAGGGAGGGAGACTAAATGACAGAGAAATAAAGGTATAATCATCTAACAGTACTTCTGGACTGTGGACATTTGGCAGTGTCTGGAGACAGTTCTGGTTATCACAAGTGGAGGAAGGAATCAATGATGTTGATATCTGAGTAGAGACCAGAAATGTTAAACATTCTACATCTCCTGCCCTCAGTGAAGGATTATCCAATGAGAAAACAAGAATAGAACTGAGGTTGAGAAACTCATCAACAGATGTATTTCTCAGAGTGTAATTAAAAGTGACAGGGCTGCTAGGTAGTGGTGGTGCATGCTCTTGATCCCAGCACTCAGGAGGCAGAGGTGGGTGGATCTCTGTGAATTTGAGATCAACTTGGTCTACAGAGTGAGTTCCAGAACAGCCACAGCTGTTACACAGAAAAACCCTTTCTAAAACAAACAAAACGGGGAAAGCTGGGCATGCCAGTGCACACCTTTAATCCCAGCACTATTAATTATAATAGTGATTAAATTATATGTATATAATATGGCCTTGAACTCATAGATCTGCCAGCTCTGTCTCCTGAGTGTTGGGATTAAAGGCGTGTGCCATCCTGATCTACATATACCTACAAATACAGCGAGACTTGGTCTCAAAAAATGAAAAATGACAGGTGAGTGAAAGTTCTGATTTTCTCTTTTCATTTGTAGTTGTTTGCAACTTACACTTTTTTTGAGACAGGGCTGTGTAGCCCAGTCTTCCTCCATCTCTATGGTGCTAAGATTGCAGTAGTGAACTACAATCAATGCCTGGCTGAAAGTCCAAATAATTGGGCTCTGGAGTTTATAGAGACTTGAGTTTAAATGTGATTCTACAAAACTTACTCTGTGATCTTAGATAGTTACATCATCTTTGTAAGCCTCAGTTTTCTCATCACAGAAATTAATGCAATATGTTAGGAGTTTAGCAATTATGCCTAGTACACGAGTAATCAGATCCCAGGTATATAGCTACATGTTTAAAAGTCAAGTACTTGATGTAAAACCTCATAGGAGAAAACCAGTTTTTTTTTTTATTCCTTTAGCAAGGTTCCTACATCTGATAATCAGAATCACTGAGGAAGAGGTGAATCATGTGGACATCTGGCCTGAAATATCTAGGCAGAGAAAACAGGAAAGGCAAGAGCCTCATTGCAGCACCTATGCTTGCAATGTTCAAGAAGGACCAAGGCCAGTGTGCTGCTTAGTTTTTGTCAACTTGGCACAAACTAGAGCTACCTGGGAAAGGAGAATCTTAACTGAGGCATTACCTTCATCAGACTGGCCTGTGGGCATGTTTGTGGGGCATTTTGATTAACAATTGATGTAGGACAAGTCAGCTAGCTCACTGTGGGTTATGCCACCTGGGCAGGTGGTTTTGGAGTTAGAAGAAAGCAGGCTGAGCGAGCTATAGAGAGCAAGTCAGTAAGCAGCATTCTCCCGTGGTCTCGGTTTCGGCTACTGCCCTGACTTCCCACTATGATGACTATGATCAGGACATTTAAGCTAAACAAACACTTCCCTCCCCAAGTTGCTTTTGGTCATGGCACTTATCCCAACAGATAACAAACTAGAACAAAGCAAGCCAGGGAGCAGTTTGGGAGGGAGAAGATCAAGATCAGAGATGTAAGGAGACCAGATCACTTGGAACCCTTGGTAGATTTTAAATACATCATTTTGGCTTGTGTGTTAAGAATGGCTGTATGAGCCAGGCGGTGGTGGTGCACACATTTAATCTCAGCACTTGGGAAGCAGGGGAAGGTGGAGCTCAGTGAGTTCAAAGCCAGGCTGGTCGACAAAGCGAGTTCCAGGACAGCAAGGGCTGTTACATAGAGAAACCCTGTCTCAAAAAACCAAAAAAAAAAAACCAAAAAAAAAAAAAAAAAAAAAAGAATGTGTGTATGAGACAAAAGAAGAAATAGAATCATGTGGACATTTACGATTGTCCAAGCAAGACAGCTGTGGTGGGTTCAAGTAGGATAGCTTCTTTGGGGATGATGACATATTCTAAAACTAAGCTATCATTATGGCCATGCAACTCTGTAAATATGCTGAAAACACTGGATTGTAAATTTTAAATGTGTAAACTTTATGGTACATGAATTGTATCTCAATAAAAACATTTTGAAAAGAAATGGCAGCTGAGTGTATCGGTACATTCCTGTAATCCCAGCACTTCAGAAGCAGAGGCAGGATGACTGCCCCAAGTTTGGGGACAGGATAGTCTACATACTCAGTTGCAGACCAACCAAAGTCACAGAGTGAAATCCTGTTTCTAAAATCCAAATCCAAACTAAACTAAAACACCTCTAACTCTCCCCAACAAACATTTTTATTTAAAAATAACGGGAGGGGTTGGGGATTTAGCTCAGTGGTAGAGCGCTTGCCTAGCAAGCGCAAGGCCCTGGGTTCGGTCCTCAGCTCTGGAAAAAAAAAAAAAATAAAAAATAAAAAAAATAAAAATAACGGGAGAATGGATTTCAATAAGGAAAAACGATGGACAAATACTATAAGGATTTAAGTGCAATTAGAAAACAGAAACTTGCAGGCCATTTGCATAATTGAATGGTTTCATACAATATCCAGAAATGTATATAGAATTAACCAAACAGCAAATACTGGAGTTTTGCTCAGTGGGTACAGTACAAAAGCAAGGATGTAAGAAAATTCAGGATGCATCCGAGAAAGAAGTTTGGGTGATCAACTCTGAGGTTACAAGGTTCACTCTGGATAGCAAAGGAAATCCAAAGGATAACTAAGGTAACAAAGGAGAAGGGCAGTTTTGGAGCCAAGTCTGGTAGTTTTGGACTTCTCCATGAAAAAGATTATTTCATTTGTGCCCGGCCTGATAGTTGGGAAGATGTTTGGCTCACATGAGTCTAAGATGATGCATAGAAAAATTATTTTGCACTTATTAAATTAGAAATAGTCCTGTTTTAAATTCTACCAATACAATTTCATAAATATAATTTGGAGAGAAATATTTATATTTAAGGTCTAATTATATAACTAAAATAATCTGATAAAAGGAACATACATGGTTTACTTGAAACTTTATTATATAAATTTCCATTTCTTTTAAAGATTACAAAACCTGTTCTTTGACAGGAATACAAGCAATATTGTTCCAGGATTATTCATGGATACATTGGAAAGAGCTTAGATTACACATTAATAGTATGATTTGCAAACTTCCCAGATTGAACTCTTAAGTAAAACAACTTAAAATACTCAGTGAAATCTGATCCTTACAAGCAGTTCATAACTATGGCAGCCGTGCCAAGCATCTATGCTATTTACCCACCAATAAAAGGTACAACACATTAGAACCCTTGATATGGTACCTTGCTTGAGCTTCTGGCATGCCTTACTAGAGATAAACTAGTATAAAGTAAGATCATATATAACAGTAGAAAAATATTTGTGATTTTTTTTCTTTTTTAAAAACTGCTTAAGTAGATACCCACCCCATTCCCACCCATGGCCAAAAATGCAAAATAATTACATCTTTTAGGTGTATACCTTCCCTTTTTATTTAGGGAAAAAGTTAAGATAAACTAATACATGTATATGATTTTGAGTTATACACTCATCACTCATAATCATTAAGTAGGCTAATGAATGACAATACTTTGAAACCTTTTTTAAATTAAAAAACAAAGCTTTATATGGTAAACTACACTTACAGAAACACAACCCAAGTCTTTATCCTCATGCCCTTGCTTTGTACTTAAATGTTCTACTTTAAATACTTGTTTGAAAAACTCAGTATACAGTTCATCCAGTACGATAGTAATATAGGAATAAAGATGTTCACTTTCATTGGACATTGAACTAATCTACTTAGAGAGAACTATTATAGTGACTCTCTTCTCAAATACATTTCCATATACTGTACTTAAATGGTATGTGCTAGAAGACATTTTCTTGAGGTTCATATATCTGGACTTAAATCTCTAAGTTTTCCTTTCCACTAATATCTAGTCAAAACATCATACACCTTGCTAGTTGCTCTGGGAAAAGTCATGATATTTCAACAGTTTATCATGCAGTTCAAGGTATATGGCAAAACAATGAGGAAAGTGCCTTAAGAGGTAGGAAAGTAGGCTCTCATCCCAACCCTTGCTATGCCCATTATGAACAGGTAAAAGACTGACAAAAAGTGGTAAATGTGAGACCTATAATGACACCAGGTTTACGAAAATTAAGTTGACTTAATTACTAGAATTTTTGAGAACTGTCACTTTGGAACTAGTTACAAGTCACTTGGCAACACAGAATACAGCAGTGTCAAAAACACACAAAGCACACTGTAGATACAAATTCTTCTTGGCCATCCATATTTGGGCATTATCACTGTGTAGATTCTTCAGTGGAAAAAGTGGTTAAGTGTGGCTCTGGAGAATACCACAGTCTCAAGAAACTGAATTCATTCCTTCATTAATTGGTCTCCACCAATGGTCACTTGGGGGAGATCAGCAAAATGTAAGCAACCTGGGGTTGAAAAGAGGACTATTTTCATTAATTGAAATAAAAACACTGAATTAAGTCAACTTCTCTGTGAATTAAATAAGGCTCAAAGTATACATCCAGTTTAGTCACATGGAGTTGGATCTTGCAGAGGGACAGATAGAGTTAGACTGGACCCTCCTGGTTTAAGCACCAAGATCAGCCATGGAATCCATTGTTTTTGTGAGTCACAGAAAATAGACCTTTTTTGATCCTTTATGTTCCAGAGCTGAGTACTTTCACAAGTCTCAAATTCTCATCACCACACTAAGGACTTATAAAATACAGAAAAACCTGAAATATTGTAGGTAATTCATAAAAGCCAGGGACTGGAGACTATCGAAGTCATGTTGAGATGTGTATTACTGGCTTCCACAGTGAATAAGAACAACTATACCAAGGTCCTGAAGTCTAGAAAGCCTTTGGCTAACTATCATCCCAGGATGAGTCTACTCTGGTCCTTTTCCTATCAAATACATGCCTTTTCTTGAAGCCTCTGCACCTACTCTCTGTTCCAATCCTTCTTGGACTGAGGGTATGGGCACAGCTTTAAGGACACCCCCACTTCTCTTGATGTCTTCTGATCCCAACAGAAGCCATGTCTAAAGAACAGATGGAAAATGGCTGATCCTCCCAACCTGTCCTTTGGAGAGTAATGCATGTGAAATGTGGAAACTACCACACATACCCTACATCCTCTCTCTAGACACTCAGAACTTACTCTTCTGTATGCCAGCTTCACAGCATCTTGACTTTGGGGCTTGCCAAAATTATTTTTAGAGTTTTGGAGTTGCTTGTTAAAAACAGATTTACATTACATCTGTTAAATTCAAGGCATTAATGCACTTAGAAGATACCTTTTTAAACAGAAGGAGCTGAAATGATTCATAAAAAGCAAAACAAAACAAAAAATAACAAAAAACTTACCTTAATTTAATATCATCACTTGAAAGGGAAGATGCAAAACACATCATATTTTAATTCATAGTTTCCAGTATATGCTTGGCTATGTTAAACACATTTCTATTGCTTGGGATGTTATTTTGCATCATAAACCAAGAGATGTCTGTAAAAAGAGTCCTGTCAGTTTAGTTCCTTTTTCAGTGAAACATAAAAGCAGAGCTGACAACTCTGGGATAAGCCCCCAAAACTGGCAGCAATGGGTGAAAGGCAGAAGACTTCAGGAGCCTTAATCCCGTAAGTACAGTGGCCTATAGGAAATAGACTTTGTGAAATAAATGGAAAGGCTAACCCAGCACAAGCACTACATTGTCGGCCATGTTTGCCCTAAGACAATGTGAACACTAGAGCCACAGAAGAAGTAATTTATGCTCCTAACCTGTTTTGTCAGTAGGAAGCCTTCAGTTTTGTGAATCTATTGGGGAAATCTTCATTTCTCCAATAAAACTAGCAGTTTGACTAGATAAGGAAGGCAATTCTTAAAGGAAATAAATTTGGCATCATAATATAGTATAGGACTGCCCTAAAATTACATAATTTTGACTTTAGCTCCTTTTGGTGATAATATGAAAGAAAGGCAGCATGGTGCTATAAGGAAAAACTAAATGAGAGACAGGATAAATGGGAGAATCTGACACACTGAATAGAAGAGGGGGGGGGGGCAAAGGCTTTCTTGCCAGGCAATGGAAAGCAACTTTGAATAGTTAGCATCCATATACTCAAGAACTTCAGTAGTTGGTATGTAGAACTTCTGGCATCCTCCTAATGTGTACTTTTTATTTAGAAGATAACCCTACATTTGGTTTCTATGCAATCATCATTTCATGTTGCTTGGGCAAAGGTGGTGTTGGAGATTTTCTCTTTCTCTTTAGTAGCAGAGAAGATAAGGAATGACAAGTGTCTTTTATGAACTGCAAAAACCACACTCTTGGGCTAGTACTCTAAGTGAGAAGATTTCTGATGTACGCAGCTCAGTAAGTGACTCACATCTACTGGGGCACATTCCTGATGAGGTAAGCTAAATCACTTTTTTCTTTGCTCATGTTTTTTACAACACATATTAACGTACACTGGGTAGTGTGACAAAGATATGGGTAATGATGGGTATAGAAGTTTCTTTTGTCAAATAAAATTGGAAACCAGCAAGTTAGATGTAGATCCTGAAGCACATGAAGCAGAGCCAGGGGCCATTATGAAAACTGGTCACTACTGAAGTCAAAGGAAACATCATATGGCTATAAACCATCAGCAGGGATTCAGAAAACAGTCAGTGCTGATCAGTCATTGAGCCTGCCTCAGCTATGACTTCAGGTTAGAACAGATACTGTTTGGCCAAGAATATTTTATTCTCTAGAATAATAAAGTTTAAATCCAATTTCATATGGAGGCCTGTGGCCTTTATTACATTCAAATTAGTGTTTAATATAGAATACCTATTTAAACATGAAATATCCAGTAAGGCTTTAATTATCAATTGCTAAATTTTCTTTTTCCAATTTCTTTAATATGATTTTTTAAAGGCCTTTGATGTATGTTGGCAAGATTTCAAATGATATGCCAAATACTAAGTATGAGCACTATGTAAGGTTAAAAGTTCAAGGATTACTTCCTTAATTAAGGAAAGGAAACCCTAAGAAATCACAAAGTATATGGATTAACTTCATAGGTGTATTCTTGATTTCATGCCACACACACAACAACTTTCTCTACCATTAACAGCTCTTTAGGTTAGTCTGACAGAGCACCTGACTTGAAGAAACAAATGAACAAACCAGTGAAACAGATGGAGGAGGATATGTACAATTTGAGAGAATTACATTCAACAGCTGTTCAATCAGTCTGGCCATCTTTAAGGTTTCCCAACAATACTGTTAATCCAGGTGAACTATTTATCCAGATTTAATAGTCAATTGATTAATAGACTCCAAGTTAAACAAGGCATGTATACATTAAAGAAATCAGTACAGAAATGTACTGTATATGAACTGTTTACAAAAACATACAAAATGTTGGATGGCACAAGGGATACAGTGCTAATATAAACGGATTGTTTAAGCTAAGTGCTTAACATAAACTGTCCATCCCTATAACTAACAAAAGAATATTTAGGGGACATGAAATATTTCCTATAAAAATAATGCTATATGGTGAAGAGTACTTTTATTCAGTGTATTTTAGGTGGTATTCATGTGTTCATTATTTTTCGTGTTGATTCAGTGATTATATCTTCATCATGTTTCCATTTTCATTTCGAAGCTCCAGGAAAATCTAACTTGCTAAGAATCAATTAAAGCGAGAAGAGATGAAAGCAGGAACAGCAGGAGCAGCAGCATTATGGGTACCAGCTGGGACAGTGTGTGCTTGCAGGTGTCTCTCAGGTATGTGCTACCTGTCGCCAGAACTTGTGCTATCAGCTTACATCATGGTACCAAATATCTCACTGAGGTCACTTCACAGGGCTGTTGAGGTGATTTTTTTAATACCCCTCCGCTGAGCAAGAGTAGAGCGGCCTACTGGTTCCAAAACTGGTGACTGATTGCGATTTAAAGCAGAGTATGTAGCTGCCATGGCACCCTGAGAAAAGCAAAGAAAGGTTACAACAAAAATGACATGTATACAAATATGAAATAAATGTTATGTCCCCCCCACCCTGGGATTTTCATAATGTAAATGATATAGATCTTTATCAGCCTCATAACGAGAATAACCTGTGGTCAAATTTTCAGATTATAACTAAAACTGAGGCCAATGTGAGAGGTTAAAATTTTGTATGAGAAAGGACAGGGAGGGGCTCAAATAGAGCAGTCCTCATTTTTCTTAGGATCATTTGTCTTTACAACCCTGTAATATGAGAGGCTGTAAACCATGATCTTTCATTTAGAAAAATTCATAGATTCTATCTCTACTGATAGTGAACACTTATGTACACAGAATGACAAAAATGCAAAAGTTTCCCTTAAGCTAACTTAATTACTGACATTCTGATACGCCTTGTGTCACCATGCCCTCAAAGAACTTATAAACAAGATGCAAGGGAAAGTTGCTTGGGGCATGGAGACAGGTTTCCTGGAGGCTCAGCTGGCTATGTCTATCCTGGAGGCCAGAGAGAAAGCAATGACTGGATATAGGGCTGTTCACCTTTACGAGATGTGGTGCATCCTGTCTGTTTAGTTGGTATTGTGGCAATTGGTCCCAATGGACAATCCAAGGATGTCTGAGCACAAGAGCAGCAGTCAGTCTCTGATGAGGATCTACATGAAGCATCTTTGATACCAGGTCCTATCATCAGATGAAGGAGAAGAATAAGACAAGGTTAATTCTTTGCTTCTCTCTTACTTCTATGATGCTTGATATTGTCAGCATTCTTGTTCAGCTTTTATGATGATGATGCTCGAGTTCCTGGTTGCAGTCCTTTTGTCACAAAGCAAATTTTAGGATAAGTTTGTGACAAAAACACTCCAATCTCCCCTCTCTCTTCCCTGAGTACCACAGTTTTGTTATGGTGCAAAGGATCAGTTTACTCTAGCTTTTCTTAGCTTTGCTCTAATTCTAGAGGGTTAGAATATTCAGAGTTCTGGCCTTACAAAGCTTTAGTTCAGTGAGGAAGAGACAAAGAATCAGTTATAAAGCAAGGTAAAGTCTCTGATGGGATGAACAAGTACCAAGAGCAGCTAGAAGAACATAGATACCTGACCTGAACTGGGAGATGGCTTCAAAAATGTCACTTTTGACTGTTACTTTTTTTTGAGAGAGTCTTTCCATGTACCCTCAATTAGCCTGGTACTCTCTACGTAGCTCAGTCTAGTCTCAAACTTGTGGGAATCCTTCTGTCTCAGTCTCCTGAGTGATGGTAGAAAGTGACTCTTAAGAGCAGTAGTTCTCAACCTTCCGAATGCTCTGACCCTTTAATATAGTTCCTCATGTTGTGGTGACCTCAAACTGTAAAATTATTTTCATTGCTACTTCAATGAATTATTTTCATTGTTACTTTAAAATTTCATAATTTTGCTGTTATGAATCATAATGTAAATATATGATATGCAACTCCAAAGGGGTCATGATCCACAGGTTGAGAACCACTGATTAAGAGGAAAGTAAGACCTCAAGGACAGGCAAGAGCTGGACTTGAAAAGGTATGGAGGAGGGCAGCGGTGGCACACGCCTTTAATCCCAGCACTCAGGAGGCAGAGGCAGGTGGATCTCTGTGAGTTCAAGGCCAGTCTGGTCTACAGAGTAAGTTCCAGGACAGGCTCCAAAGCTACACAGAGAAACCATGTCTCAAAAAATCACAAACAAACAAACAAAAGGTATGGAGGAAGCAGAACATCTCAGGTAGACAAAAAGGAGTGGATCTGGAGGAAATCCCTAAGGTACAAGAGAACATGTCTTTGGTGGTCTGAATGAGAATGGCGCCCATGGGCTCCTATTTTTCAATACTCAGACCCCAGTTGGTGAAACTGCTTGCTAAGGATTAGGAGGTGTGCTCTTGTTGGAGGAAGTGTATCACTGCTTGTGCATTGAGATGTGAGCTGCTGTTCCTGCCATCATGCCTTTGCTCCATCATGGACTCTAACCCTCTGAAACTGCAAGCCTAATTAAACACTTTTGAAATTGCCTTGGTCATGGGGCTTTATCACAGCAATAGGAAGTAACTAATACAATGTCACAATTGAGGAACTGACAATACAATGTGGCTACGGTAGAAATTTGCTGTCAAGAAGAACATGGCAGCCAGTAAAGTGGAAGAGATTGAGAATAGACAGATGAGGAAGGTCTTTGCAAGCCATATTAACAAATATGGACTTACTATAGAACAATAAAGCACAAAAGCAAGATGATAAGGTAGTCAAGTTTGAAATTTAGATAGATGATACTCCTTAAGTCTGGGGGATAATAGTTTGGAGGGGCAAAAGCCTGGAGATTTAGTTTTTTTTTTTTTTGTTTGAAGACGTCTCACATAGCCCAGGCAGGCTTCAAACTCACTAAGTAACCACAGATAACCTTGAATACATAATCTTCCTGCCTCAGATTCTCAAGTGCTAAGATTTTAGGAATGCACCATCACTCCTAGGTAGAAAAAAAATTTCTTGACAGAACCTGGTGGCTGACTAGATATTGGGAACTAGGCAGTTGCTATTCTAGCTACTCTTCTGCTTTAGACACTTGCAGTCTCTCTTGGTTATTATTAACAGCTAAGAACAGGACTAAGATACTGAACAGAATTGGAAATAAAGAGTGGGCCAGGAACAGTGGCACATGCCTGTAGTCCTAGCCACTTGGGAGGTTGAAAGAGGATTCATTAAAGCCAGGGGTTTTGGGATAGCCTGGGCAACACTTTGTGACACTCTATACAAACAAAATAAGTATAAATAAAAGATATGTTAAAAAAATCAAACTATGAAAAAAAATGACCTTTCCTATCAAATTCTGAAAATGAACCAAAGTGCTAAAAGTAAATGTTGCAAAACTTCCAGAGACAAAACAAAACTCAATTGTAATTTTAATTGCATCTCTGGGTTTGACTGGGCCAAGGCATTTCAAACTTATCTTTCTTTTACTGCTAACCCTTCAATGGCTACTCACTTTGCCTGCACTCCCTCCCTCCCTCACAGTTCTGGGGAAGGCCTTACACATATTAGGCAAGAGCTCAACCACTGAGCTATATATCCCCCTGCCCTAGGCCTAGCTTTCTCTTTAAATGGTAGCATTTCGTTGAATCCCTTCCTTGGTTCTTCTATCACTATGCTCTGATAATCGCATTCTTAATCATTACTTTAGCTACTATAGATGGTCAACTCCTTCAAACTCCACCATAGACTTCTAAGACCTACAGTCATATGGCCAGTTGCCTAATGACCAAACATCTTATAATTATATAAGCATTTTAAATTCATTATGCCGAAATCTTCAACTACTGCCAATCTCAAAGCTTCTTACATATCCAAACACTTGGTGAAAGACACTCTCTTACATTTGCCTGAGGTAGCATTGTGGACTGCATGCTTGATAGCTGCTACTTATTTATGTTCAATAAACTATGAAGTCTGCTCTGCCTTCTAAATTTTCCATTCATTTGTCTCAGATTCCATTGCAACTGCTATAATTTTGGTCTTCACCTTTCATGATTTGAAATGTATAAAACCTTACAAAAAACATCCCTAATCTTAGGTCAGTGAGCAGTGAGTAAAACAATGCAAGCCAGTTAACAGAGCCCGTTCAACACAGGCAACTGTTCTTTTTTTGTTGTTGTTTTTTTTTTTTTTTTCGAGACAGGGTTTCTCTGTGTAGCTTTGCACCTTTCCTAGAACTCACTTTGTAGACCAGGCTGGCCTCGAACTCACAGAGATCCGCCTGGCTCTGCCTCCTGAGTGCTGGGATTAAAGGCGTGTGCCACCACCGCCCGACCCAGGCAACTTGTTCTTGAATGGATACATCTATACTGACATAATCCTCTTTTCCATTTTGTAGGTAATGATAGTATTACATGATGTTTACAATCAGGAGTCTTAACTATATACAGGAGCAAAAGTTACTGTAATTGCATGGAATTTATAAGACAGGCTCTGAGTTAGAGATAATTTTTTGCTCTATATTTGTGTCTAATCTCATCTTTCACTAAAAAAAAAGCATTCTGGAGTGCAAATGAATGCAAAGGACTAGAGATAACTTTAACTAGTTTTAAATGACGAGAAAAAGCACGTGATGTGTAAGTTCTGGTACTCTGGTTATGGGTAACATTTCTTCATATACCTCATGTGATCTTGACAGTTTGTGGCAGACTCCGTGGATGAAAATAACTGTGCCATAGAGTGAAAAATGGAAAATCTGATCATTACACACAGCTTAGTAGTTTTCTTTTGTTCTTTTTGTTCTTCTGAGATGGTTTCTCTGTGAGGCCCTGGCTGTTCTGGAATTCTCTCTGTAGACAAGGCTGGCCTCAAACTCAGAGATATGCCTGCCTCTCAAGTGCTGGGATTAAAAGCATGTGCACTACCACACTTGGCTAGTTTGGTAGTTTTCTTTTTTTAAACTTTCCACCCAGAGTAAGCCAATAATCCCAAGTATGAGGCACACAGCTATTTACAATTCAGTTCATCAAGCAGCTTTGCTTGTGCATGCTGTAGGAGTCATATCAAATGACCAGTCTGGAGGCACTTGCTGTTCTCATGCTCCCATCACCACCTAACTGGCACGCACTGAGCTCCCTCAGCATGAGATAGAATACAACTTTTTATAGCCTCCTCAGCTGCTTGGAAAGATCTCCCACTGCTTTCTTGTCCAGTATCATCTGTAATCTTCTTTAGCACAAAAACTGCACTAATACAGTCAATCTTGTACTGCACATTTTGTGCTGTCTCTGTGCCAGACTGTGAGTTCTCTGAGATCAAGAATTCTATCTTTGCCATACCTTTGCTCTTCAGACTTTCCATATTATTATTAAACATATCTAGGTGCTCAATAAGGAAAATTAGGAAGGAAACAGGTACCCAGAAAAATAAAGTATCAGCTTTGACAAATTTTACTGTTAGAAAAAGAAAGGCTAACATTATTTTTTATTTTTGGTGCTGGGGCTCACCCAGGGCCTCATGGCTGCAGAGCACATGCTCCACTGCTGAGCTACACATGTTAATTTTAGTCTAACATGTTAATTTTAAACACAGTTAAAAGCCACATATCTAAACATCAATTCAACTGGCTAATTGAACTTTCTGCTCTATCTAAAAGAACCTATGAACTTTTTGGATGGATTCTATTTACAATCACCTCAACTCGAGCTTCCATTCCGAAGGAAAGTCAGTGAGCATTTTTACCAATGTTTCTTCAGTCTCTTCTGTATTTCTCTCATTTGACCTGGAAAAGTTTACTTCTTTAAAGAAAAAGAACTTTCTCTGATTTAAGTGAAAGCAGTGTTAGTCTAAGAATGGCATTTCTAGAGCCAAGGGTTTCTGAATGATTTCCAGCAACCAGGCTATAAACCAGGCTATTATGACTTGTGATAAGGATGAGACCCTGTTTGTAACAAATCAAAATGAGGACACAGTACAGTTCTTTTAGGGAACAAGGACTCTGCAGTGTGAGTTTCAAGTGCTCACATGTACCTGGTGTGCAACTATACACAAGTCTGTACTAAAGCTCTAGTCCTTGCTTTTGTTCTGTGAAATGGGGCTATTACCATCTATTTTACAAGGTTCTTATGAGGTCAAGTGCAGTATGAGGCACACGGTAGATGGACAAGTTTTAAAGATTTCCATCATTATTATTCATCATGCTTGTAAAGACAAAGATGATAATGTATAGACAATAAGGCCAAACCAATGTCCTCTAGGAAAGAAACATGATAAATAGTCCTTTTTGGAATTTAAGATGTTTGGTAATATCACTTCAACATACTACTTTATAAACAAAAACTTCTGTTAGTGTTTCTTCTCATCATGGATCATGAAAAATATTTTTTTCTTAAACACTTGTAATAGGAGCTAGGGAAATACTTCAGTCAGTACAGTGCTTGACACAAACTAGAGTCACCTGGGAAGAGGGAATTTTTTTCTTTTGTTTTGTTTTTTGTTTTTTTGAGACAGAGTTTGTCTGTGTAACAGTCCTGGCTGTCCTGGAACTTGCTCTATAGACGGGGCTGGCCTCAAACAGAGATTGGCTTGCCCCTGCCTCCTAAATGCTGGTTAAGATTAAAGGCATGCACCACCACCACCTGGCTGTAAGAGGGAACCTTAACTAAGGATTTGCCTCCATTAGATTGGCCTGTGGGCCTGTCTATGGAACAATATTTTCTTTTTTAGATTTACTTATTTTATGTATATGAGTGTTTTGCCTGCATGTATGTATGTATACCACATGAATACCTTGGGCCTCTAGAGGTCAGGAGAACGCACTGTATCTCTTGTAACTGGAATTATAGATGGTTGTGAGCCATCATGTGGATGCTGGGACCTGAACCCAGGTATTCTACAAGAGCAACAAAGTGCTCTCAAACACTGATCCATCTCTCCAGCCCCCACACTTCTTGATTAATGACTGGTGTGGGAGGGCCCGGTGTATTGTAGGTAGTGCCATCCCTGGACAGGTGGTCCTGGGTTATATAAGAAAGCAGGTTGGGCGGTGGTGGCGCACGCCTTTAATCCCAGCACTTGGGAAGCAGAGGCAGGTGAATCTCGGTGAGTTTGAGGCCAGCCTGGGCTACAAAGCAAGTTCCAGGAAAGGCACAAAGCTGCACAGAGAAACCCTGTCTCAAAAGAAAAAAAAAAAAAAAAACCCCAAAAACAAAAAAAATATAAAGAAAGCAGGTTGATCAAGCCAGTAAGTAGCATTCCTCCATGGATTCTGCCTCAGTTTTTTTTTCTCTCCCCCCCCCCTCCCCCCGAGACAGGGTTTCTCTGTGTAGTTTTTGGTGCCTGTCCTGGATCTTGCTCTGTAGACCAGGCTGGCCTCGAACTTGCAGAGAGATACACCTGGCTCTGCTTCCCGAGTGCTGGGATTAAAGGCATGGACCACCACCCGGCCCCCTGCCTCAGTTTTTGATTCAACTTCCTTCCATGGCTTCCCTCAGTGATGGACTGTGGTCAGAAAGTGTTAAGTCAAATACTCTTGCCTCTTCAAGTTGATTTGGTCATACTGTTTATCATAGCAATAGAAGAACTAGAACACTGTACAAGCATTAGGACCTGAGTTTGATCCCCCAGTACCCAAAGAAAAAGCTGAGCATTGCTGCATACATTGTAATCTCAGAGTTGGGGAGGCAGAGGCAGGTAGATCTCTGGGGCTCAGTGTAGCCTAATTGGTGAGCCCTAGATCCCTAAGAGAACCCATCTCAAAGCAAGCAAGCAATCAAACAACACCCCTCAACTCAAGTTGCATGGCCACCCAAAAATTTCCTTCGTACTTCACATCTTTTTGCACATATCCATCTGTTCACTGAAAAACATGCACACATATCAAACACCTTATTCCCCTGTCAAAAAGTCTATAATATGGCTGAGGGTATAATAGTTCAGTGGTAGAATGTGTATTTAGCATATATGATGTCCTGGGCTCAATTCTTAGTCCCAATAACAAAACAAAGTGAAACAGCCATGTAATTGGAAGTCTGATGTTTTTTCTGTCAGCTTAGGGGCCCACACCTGAATCTACTGATATTTTAACTATTGTCTGGGCTCTGTGGCCCCCCTGCTGCTACCCTGGGGGCCTCCCCCGTGTATGTGGGGGGGAGAGGGGAGGATTTCAGGTCTGCTGGCACTGGCTCAGCCTCAGCTGCCAAATGTAGGTTTTAACTAAGTCTCTATCATTCTATTTATCAATAAAAACTCGGGAGTCAGATGTTGCAGTGAAAACCTGCTAGATCAGAGAAACAGAAAAGCAACTAGCTGACCTTCCTTTTTGGCCAGAGATCCAGCAAGAGAAGCATCACTCCATTCGTCCCAAACCAAAAAGACCAGGAATCTCTAAGTCCCTCTCTACTCCCTCCTATGTGTCTCTCTGTCTTCCTGGCTCCTCTGTCTTCTCTATGGCTAATTCCTGTCTAGTCTCTGGCTCTGCCCCCTGATCCAAGGTTAATTTTATTTACATAGTCTTGGAGTTTCACAGTGTGATTAAATATCCCACAATAAAAGTCACACATACCTTTGCTGTATCTGAAACGGAATTCCAGTAACCACCACTGAGTGAGAATTTTCCGCTACCTATCCGTGCCAATATTTCCTCTGGAGTATCATCAGGACCATTTGCAAATGGAGTGTAACTAGATTATAATAAAGTCAAAATGTCAATGCATAAAATTTTTCTTATAGTTAATAATGTTTACATTTATTTATAGTTTCTAAAAGTATTCTGAGTAGTTCAGTTAATGTAATACTTTATTGGAGTCTATCAAAGTAAATAAAAGACAGTAAAAAGAAGCTCCATAGGCCAAATAATAGGTTATATTAATTACACTTTGTGGTAGTTTGAATGAAAATGGCTTCACAGGCTCATAGGGATTGGCATTATTGGGAGGTGTGGCATTGTTGGAGTAGGTGTGGCCTTACTGGAGGTGAGTCACTGGGGGTGGGCTTTGAGGTCTCAGAAGCTCAAACCAGGCCTAGTGTGATTTCATTCTTTTCCTGTTGCCTATGGATCAAGATGTAGAACTCTCCGCTCCTTCTCCAGCACCATGTCTACCTGCATGCCACCATATTTCCCACCACAACAATAATGGACTGAACATCTGAACTGTAAGCCAGCCCCAATTAAATGCTTTCTATTATAAGAGTTGTTGTGGTCATGGTGTCTCTTCACAGCAATAGAAACTCTAAGTAAGATAGACTTAATATATATTATATGTATTTTAAGTTATGACACAGTCTAAGATAATATATTAAAACAGCATGTTTATTACATAATCAGAATAAAAATATGAAAAATTTATTTAACACCATAAGACATTAAAAACACAGCTAAAGCCAAGTGTTGTGGTACCCCTTTAATCCCAGCACTAGAGAGGCAGAAGCAAGCACATCTCTGTGAGTCTGAGGCCAGCCTAATATACATAACGAGTCCCAGGCCAGCCAGGACAACACAGTGGGACCCAGTCTCAAACCCCCCACAAAACCAAAAACAAAACAAAAAAAGGAAAGCTAATTAAAAAAAGGATACAGCTGCCAGGTGTGTGTGTGTGTGTGTGTGTGTGTGTGTGTGTGTGTGTGTGTGTGTGTGCGTGCATGCGTGTGCGCGCGCGCCTTTAATCTCAGCACTTGTGGGGCAGAGGCAGGCAGATCTCTGTGAGGTCAAGGCTAGCCTGCTCTACAGAGCTAGTTCCAAAACAGGCTCCAAAGCTACACAGAAAAACTCCGCCTCAAAAAACAAACAAACAAAAAAGGATACAGCTATAAATATGATATAATTATACTACTATATATATATTAGTATGAGAAACATGGAACGATATTACAATATAGGGATTTAAAAAGCCTACATAATTTAGATAAAATATTGATGAATAAGTGCTTATGGTACACACTTACCCAGTAAGCATTGTATAAAGGAGGACACCAAGACTCCATATATCACAGGCAGCATCATAACCTTGTCGTTTCAAAACCTAGAAAAAGTAAAAGATGATTATTAACACACTAATATATTTAAAAATTTATATATTTGTGCATATGCCAGCTTGTCTGTATGTGCACCACAAAGGCCAGGAGAGGGGTCTGATCCTATGGAACTGGAGTTATAAATGATTGTTAGCTGCTGATCCTTTGCAAGAGCAGCAAATGCTCTTAACTGGAGTCATCTTCCCAGCTTCTCCACACTGGTGTTTTTTAGATATATTTAGATATTGAATGGAATTGTATTTTCCAAATCAACACACCAAGCTCGTGGGCGCTCACAGACTCTGGACTGACAGCTGTGGAGCCTACATGGGACTAAACTAGGTCCTCTGCATGTGGGAGACAGTTGTGTAGCTTGGTCTGTTTGAGGGGCCCCTGGCAGTGGGACCAAGATCTGTCCCTGGTGCATGAGCTGGCTTTTTAGAGCCCATTCCCTATGGAAAGATACCTTGCTCAGCCTTGATGTAGCAGGGAGGGGCTTGGTCCTGCCTCAACTGAATGTACCAGGCTTTGTTGACCCCCCATGGGAGGCCTTACCCTTTCTGAGGAGTGGATGTGGGGATGGGTACAGGGGGAATGAGAGGTGGCGGGGGTTGAGGGGGGGAATGACCGGGAGGAGGGGTGGGAGAGGGAACTGTGGTTGGTATGTAAAAATGAATAAAAATATTTTTAAAAAAGGAAACAACAACAAAAACCAAGTAGTAATCAAATTAGAACATTCTGCTTATATACATTATACATTATATACATTTATGTGTATTATGTTAAATTCATATATACATTTATGAATTTAACACTGGTATTTAAATATTTATTATGTACTGCTGTGGGTACAGAGAGGGATACAGAACATATCAAGGGTAATTTCTTTTACATATTTCTTCTTGAGACATAATCTCCCTATGTAGTTCTGGCTGGCCTGGAACTCACTATGTAGACCAGGCTGGCCTAGAACTCATGGAATTCCACCTGTTTCTGCCTTGGTGCTGTAATTCAAGGTCAAGGTGTCTGTGCTACCACACCTGACAGGTTTCTTATCTTAATGAATTTCTATTTTGAATGGAGCTATAGAAATGACTATAAATAATACTTTTTGAGACAGAGTTTCACTCTATAGCCCAGGCTAGCTTCAAGCTTCCCATGTAGTCAGGGCAGATTGTATATACTTTTGATCATATACTCAGCTTCCCTAGTACTAGGATTACAGGCATGCCTTTCATGCCTGGCAAATAACAATACTTTTAAGAACACATGTAACCTCATATAAATGATACAGTGCTAAACCTACTAATTCATATATTATTTGATTCACTCAAACATTTAATCATTATCACTGGTTATTATTAGGCATGCACTATGACCAATTTTGAAAAAGATCAATTTCTTTAAAAAATAGAATCTAGCAGGGGAAATCAACATATAGTTAACAATTCAATGTAAGTATTATAACAAAATCATGTTAATAAAGACTCTGATATTGAGATAAATACATGGTTTATTCATTTTTGTGGAGCTGGGGATCAAATCCAGGGTTTCCTGTAGGTTAGGAAAGTACTCTATCACTGAGGTATAATTTGAGCTCCAATAATTCTTGATATAGGGAGAGAGTTAGCTAGTTTGTATTGGACCTTCAAGTAAGATGGCTGTAGGCAAAGAGAAGAGGCAGAGGACAGTCAAAAATAGAAGCAAAGGACACAGCTGTGTGTGGTGGTTCACATCTGCAATCTCAGAACTTGGGAGGCTAAGGTGGATCACTGCAAGTTCACGGCCAAGCTGGGTACAGAATTGAGACCCTGTCTCAGAACAAAACAACAGGACAGAACAGTGCTAATGAAAGGCAAAGGAGTAAAAAGTAGCTAGAACTTCAGGAAGAGGATACTAGAGAAAGAAGAATTTAGATTTTTCTCCTGTAGGCAACCAGATGTCATCGAAGCATTAAACAGGGAAATAAAGGGCTGGCATTTTATTTCAATGATCAGTTCAGTGATTCTTCAATTAAACAATAATTAACTGTCTATATTAACGATATAAATGAGTTCTTAAATATACCCAAATAGAGCAAGCACACTCTCTCACAATTACCTCTGGTGCAACAAAATTTGCAGTATAACAAGGAGTCATGAGAAGACCATTTTCCGCTCTCAGCTGTTTTGCAAAGCCGAAATCACAAATTCGAATAGATTCTGGATTACCAGATTCATCCACATAAAGAATGTTGCTAGGCTTCAAGTCTCTGTGAACCACCTAGTTGAAATAAAAATTAGAGATTTATGTTAACACAATACATTTCCCCACTGAAATTTCTTTATTCTCATACTGCCAAACAATGCACCTAACAAGCTGATGAGTGCATAATGCTGTTAATTTAAGTGTAGTGGTCTAACACTGACTGACCTGGGCATAAGGAGGAGGAAGGAACAATGTTAGTTGCCTTTTCCCTCTTGTCCAATTGTGTAACTGGGTAAAGGAGAAATGCAAATAGCAACTATATCTATCTCCAGGTAATTCATTCACTTCATAATAGTTATCCAGTCTCTACCATGTGCCAGTGTATTATATAAAGAGCTGCAGATACTGTGTAAATAAGACCCATAAGATCCTGGCTGTTTCATGCTAGGTACTTGCAACATAGTGGAAAGGAATACAACAGACAGGTTCACATAAGGCATTTTAAAGTATGGGACAGTTTTGAGAGGAAATAAATTGTGACCTAAGGCCTAAAGTAGACACTTAAAACAAGCCATTCAAACTGTGAGATACAGCTTCTCTAAAGTGAGGGAATGGTATATATCAAGATAGGAAAACAATAAATACACACACACAGGCATGCTACCTAAGAGTAAAAACCAACTAATTTAAAAAACTCAAATTTAACCCTCCCCCCCAAATTCATTTGATGTACAAATCAAGATGTCACATAAACAAAATCATTCTCTTTTTAAAAAGTTTAGATTTGATTCTCTTTTCAATCACCAAATCCAAGTCTATATTCTAATCACCTTAGTTTTAGTTCCTAACATCCAGGACATTAATTGTATTTTCCTAATTAACTGGTAAGACACAGGGAAAAGAACACAGAAGACTTAGATAACCGTAAAGCTATCAGTTGTTCAGCAAATATTGTCTTCTACCAATTTCAAGGTACAGTACTAGGCAAATCTTGACTACCCCACAACCAGAAAGCTGTAGATCTAACACATTCCACTTGTTAGCTTTTAAGGGCAAACAAACAAACAAACAAAACCACCAAATGAACAAACAACCAAGATGAGACCACTACACTGAAATGAACTCCTTAAGAAGTCATTTTTCACACACACACACACACACACACACACACACACACACACACACACAAGCTAGAGATTGGCTTAGTTGGTAAAGTGCTTGCCTTGAAAGCTCAAGTACCCGAGCTCAATCCCCAGAAACTATATAAATGTGCCAGGCATGGTAGTAAGTGTTTGCAATCCCAGGGCTAGGAAGGCAGACAGGATGGAGCTTAATCGGCTGTCAGTTGAGCCTAATTGGTGAACTTCAGGCCAGTGAGAGACACCCTGATCCAAAAGAGATAGATGGTGTTCCTGAGGATGACAGCAATGTTGTCCTCCATGATCCATACGCATGTGCACACACACACCAAGAACACACACACAAATACGTAAAAAACCTTTGACCTATACCTTAAATGCATTTTTATTAATTAAAAATGTTAAAAAATAAGAAAACTTTCTCCCTGTGATATTTTTTCCTCCTCTATCTTCCTTCTCTTTATTTTTTTACTTTCCCTTTTCTTTCACAGACTTCATTCTTTTAAAAATATTAGTTTTTTTCTTTCCTTTTAAAAAAATCATTTAGTAAAATTTATATGCAGGAGAAAACAATGAGATCATTCACTAGGTGACAAATTGGCTTTACTCGTGTATGTGGATAGAAACCACCATTCTCTTTTTCTGCCTATAATTTTAAGTGGGCCTGGTTTTCAAGGATACAGAGTGCTAATGTTTTACAGGTTCAAAGATCTCATCAACTTTTTCTTAGAAAGCATAACAACTCAATATAAGCATGCTAAGATTTCAAAGTACTTCAGGCTTAATTAAAAAGGTTTGTGTAAAGGAAAAGTGGTAGAATAATGAAGCTCATTACAGTTTTCTGCTACTTTTATATTTTTAATTTTAGCTTGAGTATTAAGAAAAAAAGGATGTGCATACAAATATGTGTATGCATAAATTATGTTCAAAAGACTTACCCCTTGTGCATGAAGATACTCAACAGTTTTGGTTATAGTAAACAGGACAGCACTGGCCTCTCGCTCTGAGAAAAACTTTTGTCTAAGAATTTTATCCAGCAATTCGCCTCCTTTCATAAGTTCTGTTACTACATACACATATTTTCCATCATCATATACCTGTAAAATTTAAAATAACACAAAAATTATTTGAAGCTTTATGTATGTCTCTAAATTACTACTCAAACATACTAAAGATAAGTGAATATATTAAAAGAAATAAAATTGCATATTCAAGAAAAATTTACTTGTGAAAAACCAATACAGGATTTTTGGAGATTGTGTAAATGAATCATTTACAGTGAACAGCTTCACATTTAATGTGACCTAGTCAACACTCTTTATCTAAGACAAATTATTCTGAGAAAATAAGAGTTTTGACAGTATCTAAAGAGATAGCCTTTGAGTCTATGTGAGCACCAACAGCAAGAGAAAGCTGAATACTTACTTGGGAAGTGGATATTTTCATCAATACTCAGTTATAATAAAAGCCACAGAAGACAGAGGTATCAGGACATCCCAGGTAGAGAATACCTCACTTGTCCTGGGGTGGTAATGGTCAGAAAAGGCTTCCTGGGAGGAAGCAGCCTATAGCAAAGTCTTAGTTGTGGTAGTCAACCAGGTAAAGAAGGGAAATGATATTCCCACTAAGGATCCACACATTCAAAAGCACTTGGAGAAAATGAGGCACGTGTGCTTTAAAAAGTCTACATCCCAAATAAAGCATGGCCAGAACATAGGGTGTGTAAAAAAGTATGAAAACTACTACAAAGGAAGGCAGGTGGGAGCACAGTTTAGGGAGCCTTCAGGAAGACTAATCAATCTTGAATATTAATATGTTCAAATTCACATAATATAAGCAATAATGTTAAAATAGTTTTTAAAGTAAAAGCAGAAAATGAATTATAGATTTTAGAGTTTTATTATTAATTTCTTAAAAATCAATCCTCTTCCTCCAATACATTCCCTTCCAATCCCCTGTCCCTATCCTGCTGGTCCCCTCCTTCCTACTACGAGTCCCTTCTTATGATTTCATGCCCCCTTCCCAAACCTCCCTTAAGGTATCTTTATCACCTTTCATGGTCACCTTTCTTGTTTCATAACCTATACCCCCCACTTGTGTACACACACACATACAAAATCTAGGATCTTTATATAAGAAGAACTATGCAGTTTCTGTCATTCAAAGTCTGGGATACTTTGCTTAAGAAATTTCCACTTTCATCCATTCAATGTTACTTTCTAAGCTGACTATTCTGAAGTAGTGTTTGTGTACAATGTAATATTTGAAAAATATCCCAGATATGAGTTTGACAACTGCTTCAAGTTATCTTTGCTAAAGAATCTACTTACATCCTTTAGAGTAATGATGTTTGGATGCTGTCCATAACGAAGAAGAATTTCAATCTCTTCTGTTGGATCTCTCTTGCTTTTATCAATAATCTAAAAGGTGAGAGATTTGTCATAAAATTTTATGAACATGAACCTTAAATGTTTATAGTTATAGACCTTAGGTATCCTCACTGTATACTAGGCAGTTGTAGTTAACTACTTAGCCAGATTGTTTCATTAGAAAGCTAGTCTCCATATAGATGGCTAGATAAGGCTAACCATGCCACACATTCCTACTAGGTCATGCCAAAGAAACTTGGTAGTGAAGTTGGGACTCACTAAAAACTCAAAAACCTCAAGAAAAGTTACCACATCATTTTTTTTTCACCCTTGAATTTCTCAAAAATTTGAGAATTCAACTAATCCCCTATCAATACAGATAACTAAGAGATACATATGTCTGCAATACCACCATTAGCACCTGCTTATTGAATGGAATTTCCTTTTTTTTTTTCAAGACAGGGTTTCTCTGTGTAGCCTTGGCTGTCCTGGAACTACCCCTGTAGACCAGGCTGGCCTTGAACTCAAGAGATCCACCTGCCTCTGCCTCCAGAGTGCTGGGATTAAAGGCATGTGCTACCACCACCCGGCTGATTTACTTCTTTTAATTATTTTAATAGACTGTCACATTAGCTGCAAGCTACTTACAAAAATTAAGTAAACAACCTTATTTTTGAAACTAAGTAGAAAGCTCTGTATAAAACCACCCCTAGAATATTACTTGACTACATTTGACTATAATAAAGCTCTTTAAAATATTAACACAGACTATTAACTCTTTTATGTTAGTTGCTTAAATTTTTTTCTGAATGTTTTAGTATGTTCAAGTACTATACACACATATGGTGTTGAAATCTCCAGAACTGGAGTTACAGATGATTGTGTACTCCCACATGGGTTCTAGGATTTAAACCTGGGTCTGCTGGAAGAGCAGTAAATGCTTTCTTTTTTAAATGATTTTATTTTATGTGTGTGTACCACATGTGTGTAGGAGTCCTCAGAGATCAGAAGTGGGTGTTGGATCCCCTGGAACTGGAGTTACATACTACTGTGGGCCACCATGTAGGTGCTGGGAAACAAACCAGCAAGAACAGTATGTGCTCTTAACCCCTAAGCCATCCCTCCAGCTCTAAGTACTATATTTTGTAAAGACAATTTGTGCTTTGTTTTATGAGAAAGGGTCTCATGGACTCCAGACTGGCCTCAAACTCACTGTTTAGCTGAGGATGAAATCCCCCTGATTTCTCCTGCCTCCATTCCCAAATGCTTCAATGACAGGCATGTGCTACCACACTTGGCTCAATTCTGGCTTTTGAGTCATTCAAAGAGTAGTCTGAAACAAATTTTGTGGTCTTTATGTTCAATTTTATTTTTATCAGTTTTAGTTTTTAAATTTTTTAAGGCAGATTCTCATTTTGTAGCCCATATCAGCCTCAAAGTTTTGTAGCTAGTTCAGGCTGGCCTCACAGTGGCAGCAATCTTTATAAAATGGGACCTTAGGACATGTTTGATGTGTTTATGTATGCAAGACACATTCCTAAACTGCCTATCAAGTATACCATTCCCTTTTTCTCCTTGCATGTTAGTAATCTGGAACTTCTATTCACTTTAGATTTCAGTAAGAACAGTGTACAGCAGAATAGCATGTTAAATCCATTTCTTTGGTTCATCATTGTATCTGACAGAAAGCCTCATGGACACTCATGTCTCTTTAAAGCAATTATATTCAGTTTTACATAGTAATAACAATTTGCTACTCTTTCCCTAACTAAACATGAACTATTTATACTTATAAACTACTACTATGAAGATTCAAGGTCAGTTGGAAGCTTTAGGCATTGCTTGAATTACTTGAAGTGAGAAAGGATAGATTACTTAAATTACAGTGAAAAGGCAAAGAATTTGAATATAATGTTTGTTCATCGATAGCTAGGGGTTTAAAATTCAAACTTTATCACAAAACTATATACTTAGGTTTTGGCTTGAAGACTTCTGTCTTAAGATATCATATTAAATTAAACTTACTAATGATAAGAAATGATCATGGTTCTTTAATTCTTTTAATGGTTCAAAGATTCCTTTTAGATATAAAGAAAGGTATGAACATTTTCACCAGATATAATGCAAAATTTGAACACAGTTTTGAGGAATTCCCTGATACTCTGATCATAAAGTAGGGACTATTCGGAGTATAGGGAATCCTATTAAAAATCATGATGTATAAACTAGCACTTCTCTGGCTTAATTGGCTATATAGGCATCTTACTGTTCATTTCAGCAGAATGGGGATCCATGATTCCAGATTAAGATCTTTGAAGATCACTAACTCAGATACTTAAATTTACCTTCAATTTATTTTATAACAAAAGGCACTTTTGCTAAAGAGAAGAATGTAGTTTATTTTAGGGAGAGTCTTGCCATACTGGCTAGGTTAACTTCTAACTCATGATTCTCTTGCCTCAGCCTCCTGAGTGAAATATAGAAGTGCTACTGCACATGCACCTGGGTTGAAGAGTATAATTTTTAACTCATACTGACATATATGACTAAGAACTGCTAAGAGTTGCATTTTAAATCTAAAAATATTTACCTTCACCGCAAACTCCATGTTTGTGGCTTTATGTATACATCTCTTACAAATGGAGTATGAGCCAACGCCAATATCCTCTTTTACTTCATATCCATCAGTAAATTGAATACTGTTCCTGTGTAATTGCTACAAACAAAATCATAGATTGATATAAGAATTCTGTAATGTCTCTAATGCATTTTATAAACAAGGAATATTTTACTGAGCATGTATTGTTGATGTTATTTACTAATACAAATATTAATAATAAAAATGAGTAAAAATATTATTCATAGCATGTGAAATAGGCCCTTTGAATGTGCTTATATTTAACAAGAGAAATATGTAAAACATAAAAAACAGAAATAATTGGTAGTTCACCTATACCGTTATCTTTGATATATCTTCTTTTGTTTTCATTTTTCAAGACTATCATACAATATATTTTGATATTCTTTTCTCCCCCCAAACTCCTACCAGGCACACCACCCAACTTCATGTTCTTTCTTTCTCTTAAAAAGTAAACCGGGTTGGGGATTTAGCTCAGTGGTAGAGTGCTTGCCTAGCAAGTGCAAGGCCCTGGGTTCAATCCTCAACTCCAAAAAAACCCAAAAAAAACAAAACCAAAGAAAACAAAATAATCAGGAACACACACACACACACACACACACACACACACACACACACACACACACACACACACACACACACAGACACACACACACACCCACCCCACCCCTCCATGGAATCTGATTTGTGTTGGCCAACTACTCCTGAGCATAATGTCTGTCCTAGAGTGTAGTTGACATACTCAGTGTTACTCCATTGAAAAAAACAAACTTTACTTTTTCAGCAGGTATGAGTTTCAAATAGGTTCTTGCCTAGGGGTGGGACTTTGTGTCTACTTCCTTTTCTACATGCTAGGATTTTGTTTGGCTTGAGCTTGTACTTTTAATATAAATACATATATTATATATGTGTGTATATATATGTAATTTATACATATGTTATCTGTATGTTATATGTGTGGGGTGCCCACAGAAGCCAGAAGAGGGTGTTGGGTCCCTTGGAGCTGCAGTTACAGACAGATGGCTGTGAATTGCCTCATGTGGACGATGGCACTTAGACTCAAGTCCTCTGGAAGAATGGAAAGTTGTTTTAATATCTCTAGCCTCTTTCATTCCCCAAACACCTACAGGCTTTTAGAAGTACCTTTAAAAATGAACAGAAGTTTAAAACCTCTGGTACATAAGAAAAGATTCAGGAGGATTCAGAATCAGAAATCTGGATTGTTTCTCTCATTTTCATCTCTCAGTAGCTATGACCCCCTTTCTTCACCCCCATATGTTTGGCTAAAGAAAGCTATTAATTTAATTTTTCAAAAGGCAAATTGAAACCTATGATTTAAAAGATGAATTAAAATTTTTAAACGTATTTTTACTTTTCAACACAGTAATTGCACATGTTTATGATGTATATTATATCTCAATATATGTACACAATGATCACACAGGGTAAATTAAAATTATCTTCCCACAATACTATGACAAAAAAGTAATCTCATAGTTTCTACTCCTTTAACAGTACTTAGAAATACATGTACTTAGAAACCAGCTTCTAAAGTCCTTTACCTACTTTTCCCCCCAAATCTGATAATCAGATCATATAAAGGGGTAAAGGTCCAGTGCTAGATAATTTTTTTTGTTAACTTGACACAAACTAGAGTTATCAGAGTACAGGAAACCTCAACTGAGAAAATGCCTCCATTAGATTGGTTTGTGGGTATGTTTGTGGGACATTTTCCTGATTAATGGTTGATAAGGGAGGGTACAGCCCATTGTGAGCAATGCCACTCCTGAGTGGGTGGTCCTGGGTTGTATAAAAAAGCAGAGTGAGCAAGCCAGCAAGCTGTGTTCTTCCATGGCTTCTGCTTCAGTCTTGCCTCCAGGTTCCTGTCTTGAGTTTATTTATTGCTTGTTTTTATAAATGAAGTTTTACTGGAGCCCAACAATGTACTTTGTACATGGATTATCTATGTCTGTATTTTTGCTATTTTTATTATTTCTTTACTTGATCTTGCTAAGCAGCCAAGGTTTGTCTTGATCTAACTCTGAGGCTCCTCCCCACTAACACTGAAATTGATCCTCCTGCTGCAGCCTCCTGAGTGTTGTTGTACAAGTGGCACCATGGCTACTTTTTTGCAACAACAGCAGTGTTGAGTAACTGTGAGAATAGTTAACAAAGCCTCAGATGTTTGTTTTCTTACTTTTTATAAAGTCTGCTAAGTTATGAACTTGCAGACTTGAATCTATTATTGCTGACCTGACAGAGGCAAAGGCTGAAATATACTAAGCCTAATAAACATTTTGAGATATAGAAGAGGGGGGCAACAAAATAGTGAGTGATGTTTACCTCAATTCTCTTAGAATTACACTTTCAAATCACATACAGGATTTTGGTTCATGCAATCACTGCAATGATATATGAAAGAAATTTCTCTGATGTAAATGATCTAAAATGTTAACGTATTTTATATGTTCACTTAAAGTCAGCACATAAAATTTAACCTTACTATTCACATACTAAAATACATCAACATTTCAAATTCTAAATTATTGAGACACTACTTACCTGAACAATTGAATGCACACCAACTGTCTGCATAGCTTGGCTTTCATCATCTGAGGTAATAGCAACAAAACTAAACCCCCGAAAAAGCTGATGTGCATTAGCACTAGGTGGAATGCCAGGTGAATCTAAAAAGAAAGAGGAATTACTAAAATGAGTCTTTGGAAAGTAGTTGACATTTTGGATTTTCTCTCTTATTCTGGAGTTCTCAGTTACCTGGGACGTGTACATTTATATACACACACCTGCATACCTTTAGCTGTCCAGGATACCTCAGTGAGGCAGTGTATTAGATCTGTCCTGATTACCTACTGCAACCATCAGCCTACTAATCTACTCTTTTGTTTTGTTTTTTGGTTTTTCGAGACAGGGTTTCTCTGTGTAGTTTTGGTGCCTGTCCTAGATCTGCTCTGTAGACCAGGCTGGCCTTGAACTCAGAGATCCACCTGGCTCTGCCTCCCAAGTGCTGGGATTAAAAGCGTGCGCCACCACTGCCCAGCACTAATCTACTCTTAGAGCCTAGAAAATAGTTAATGTCTGAAGAACATAATAAATCAATGAATTATTGGGTTAACAGTATTTGAAATTAGTATCATCTCATTCATTTTCTAAGAATAAGGGAAATTTTCTTGATCTGTGCTGTCCAATATGGTAAGCAACCACATAGAGTTAATGAGTATTTAAAATGTGTCTAAATTGTAATTAAATTCAATCAGCCACATGTGATTATCATACTAGACATCATGGTCCTACATGATGATCTACTAATAATATGGCTCCTCATTTTTATTGGGGGGGGGGGGAATGCAAGGGTCATATACAGCAAATTTAGGAGATTCAAGGAAAAGATTTTCTGATTGAACCAGAAAGAGATAGCCATTGTCTTATGAGTTCTCCTGTTTTCTCTTTACCTTTGGGAGTTTTTGCCGTAAACTCAGGATCAAAATAAAATGTATCTTCAGGCCTGCCAGTTGCAGGCTTAAAAGGTGGGTGAATTTCTCTTCTATAAAGTTTCTGTTGGAAACAAGAAAAACTTAGACATGGGTTAGGTTAATTTTTTTTTTCCCCAGACACGGTTTCACTGTGTAGTCCTGGCTGTCCTGGATCTTGCCCTGTAGATCAGGCGTGTCTCGAACTCACAGAGATCCACCTTCCTCTGTCTCCTCTGGGATTAAAGGTGTGCACCAACACCATCCACAGGTTAATTTTTAAAAACAGTTCAAACTTTTCTTTTTTTTTTTAAAATAGTTGAGTACCCAGAGCCTTGGAAATGCTCCCTTAATTCCCTCAAGTGTGTCTTTAGTCTGTACTTACATTCCAGTCTATTGTTGAGAAAAATGAATGTCTTTTAATTTCTTCAACTCCATCTGGTCCAGCACCTATTGGAAATTGATTGGTTAACAGTTTTATTTCAAGGATAAACATGTACAATCGTTCACAGATTTTGCTTTGAATATTTGTATGAGTATGTAATAACCCCACTACAAAAAATAAACATTCACCTTCCACTGGAAAAAAAATACAAACTCATGAAGGAAACTGATTAATTCAAAGTCTTTACCTAATCTGTTTGCAGGATTCCGTTTGAAAAGCATTCGTAAAAGACTCTGGGCTTCAGGACTCAGAAACTGTGGCATCCCAAGTTTGGCTCTAAATATAAATCCATGTAACAACATTTAACTTTTGGAGGCATTTTTCATCTTCAAACATTAAACTTTTTATTTTGAAATATGTTTAAATTCATACTAAGTTATGAAAAATAATAGCGATCATTCCACAATTCTTACAATGGCAGTATCTTATAGAACTATAATGCAATATAAAACTGACTGAAATAATCTACTGATATCATTCAGGTGGCTCCAGCTTTATTTGCACTTATGTATTTGTATAGTTTTATGCAATGCTCTCATGTACATGAGTAATCTCCTATATGGATGGACTAGTTCATTTATTTATTGCATTCTGAATGATACCTGAATTGTGTTCAGTTTGGATAATTATGAATAAAGCTGCTAGAAACATACATGTACAGGTTTTTGAGTAAGCATTATAAAAATCAGTACTATGAGAATAAGGCCTTCTGAGCCTTGGTTATGGCTAGTACTCTTTTGCCTGTTAGTGCATCTTTATAAGCAAAGGGATTGGATTCTAGATCAATGGTTTACAAACTATAGCCCTAGAACCCTTTTCCAAATGGACTTTAAGAAATCTAATACTGAAAAGAGAATATGTGTGCTTTATATACCACTTTCCTGTGTGGTGGTATTGTGTTCCCCAAAATATTGTGTACCTTAATAAACTTATCTGGGGTCAGAGAACAGAAAAGCCACTAGATACTTAAGATAGGCAGTGATAGCACATGCCTTTAATCCTAGCATTCCAGAGGCAGAAATCCATGTGTTCAAGGATACAGCCAAGCATGGTGACTCACGCCTTTAATCTCAGAAAGCGAGCCTTTAATCCCAGGGAGTGGTGGTAGAAAGCAGAAAGGTATATAAGGCGTGAGGATCAGAAACTAGAAGCATTTGGCTGGTTAAGCATTTGGCCTGGTTAAGCTTTCAGGTTTCTAGCAGCAGTTCAGCTGAGAGCAATTGGGATGAGGACATAGAAGCATCCAGTCTGAGGAAACAGGACCAGCTGAGGAATTGGCAAGGTGAGATAGCTGTGGCTTGTTCTGCATCTGATCTACCAGCATTCACCCCAATACCTGGCCTCAGGTTTGATTTTATTAATAAGAACTTTTAAGACTCATGCTACATTCCTGTGTTTCAATTCCTAATGAAGGGAAACTGATGGGAAAGGAGTTTATGAAACATTGGAGATCCTATGGCATACTAGCTGAAAACCACAAGGCTGGATGACCTTATGGTCTATTTCAGCTAGTGTATTAGTGCATTCTTTTCCCCAACCTAAAGAAACCAAAGATCCTGTAAGTATGACAATAACAATAGATCTAGAGAAAACAGCTAGCATAGAAATTCCTATTTCAGAAACAGATCTATTTATTACTTATTGAGTTGTTAGTGAATTGGTATGTGCCAGATATTGCTTAGTGCTCTGGCTAAAGGTAGTATCCCCCCCTTCAGTCTATAAAAGATTAATATAGATAACCACAGTATATTAAGTGATGAATCCAATGCTGGGAATGGTGGTGCACATCTGTAATCAAAACACTAGGGATACTAAGGCAGGAGGATCTCAAGTTTCAGGTCAGCCTAGGTTATACAGTGAAATCCAGTCTCACAAAACCAAACCCAAAACCCAAAACCAACCAATTAACCAAATCAGCCTGGGTTATACAGTGAAATCTAGTCTCACAAAACCAAACCCCAAACCCCAAACCAACCAATTAACCAAAAGACAGACCTAGGAAGTCATTTGCAAAGAATGCTAAGGGAACAGCAGTGGGTATCTAATTTATCACGGAACATGGTGAAGGACCTTCAAATAATGGTTTTTTTTTAATTTTTAAAAATTTTATGTGTGAATATTTTGACTGCATGCATGTCTCCACCATGTGCATTTAGTGCCCAAGGATGGGCAGAAGAGGGTATTGGATCCCTGGAACTAGAGTTACAAATGGTTGTGCACTGCCATTTGGGTGTTAGGAATCAGATATGGGTCCTCTGCAAGAACAAGTGCTATTAGTCAGCTGAGTCATTTTTCTAGCCCTCCTTCAAATGAATTTAAAGGTTGAATTTAGATTGAAGTTACTCACTGGGTTAGTACTGCCCCAAATGTTACTAAATAACATTATCTCCCGCCCCCCTAGATACTTGGGGACAACAATAAAGACTACTCTATGATCCAGTGAGCTTGTGGACTGTGATTTATTGCAGCCTTCATGTTGAAGACATAAAATAAAGTATACGATACATAAAAGGCTAAGAAATCTAGAGTAAATAAATCATTATTTTATAAATATTTATCTCTAGCATTCCCTTTTGAGAAGATAACTATTTGTTATAGAATTAGGCCTCTTTTGAGAAAACTGGAAAAGCACTGTTGTAATTCGGTAACTGGGGTATAGTGGAAGTCTTGAAACAGTAGTCTAGCATGGCCAGATTTATTTTCAAGATGATAACTCCAGAACAATCTAGAATGGAAAGAGATGGTAGGCACTATACTAGAAGTGTGGCTCAACATTGTCGGAGAGATTATCCCATTGCTTGAACACTGTGAGCAATGCATTGCAGAGGAAGGGCTATAACAATTAAATAGTTCTAAAATAAAATCAGAATACCTGGATATGAAAGAAGGAGGAAGACATATTTCTGACTTGGAAATATATGGAAATGTTTATTGGGGGTATACAGATAAGAAAAGAACAGCAAGTAGGAACTTATTTTAAAGATGTGAAGTCATGCTTACTATAAAATCACATGGGTAAGTTAGTTTGAGTATAGGTCTTGTGCCTAGTATACCGATGTAAGAAGATAGGTATTGTGCCTAGTATACCAATGTAAGAAGACTTTGAAGGTTAAAAAAATGTTGATATTAGTTATAGGAAAGACTGAAGTCAGTCGAGTAACTGAATACAGAGAGGGAAGAGAGAGAAAATACATCAGAGATGGAAAGAGAAGATCATTTGAGAGGTGGTTAAAAAAGAAGTATTTTGAACATTAAAGATAATAAAAATAGGCTGGGAGGACAGTTCAGTGGTAGGGCATGTGCTAACATATACAAGACCCTAGGTTCAATTCCAGCATCAGGAAACAAAACAACAACAACAAAAAACAAAGAAAAATACAACTGGTTGAATCACACTGATTATTTGATGAAGGAAAAGTTCATAAAATACCAGCTAAAAATTGAGGAAAGAAAGACAGCAATAGAAGAGTCATCTCTTTGAATCTTTAAATATATATATATATATATATATATATATATATATATATATATATATATATAGGTTTTTTTGAGACAGGGTATATATATATATATATATATATATATATATATATATAGGTTTTTTTGAGACAGGGTTTCTCTGCGAAGCTTTGTAGCCTGTCCTGGAACTCACTTTGCAGACCAGGCTGGACTCGAACTCACAAAGATTCGCCTGGTTCTGCCTCCTGAGTGCTGGGATTAAAGGCGTGCGCCACCACTACCCGGCTAAAATATGTTTTAAGGTAATGATTATTAACAGATTAAACCCGTAGACAACCGTTTGACAGGAAACATTATGGGCTCAGCTGGAATGAAAGTGAGACAATCATGCACTCTAAGCCATCTGACTCAATAAAATAGGGAGCATGCAGTATAAGCCATCAAATAATACTACCAAGAAGTTGAAACAACTGAGTATGGTAGCACACACCCTTAGTCCTATATATTTAGGGGCTGAGGTAGGAGGATTGAAAGTTTGAGGCTAGTCTAGGATATGCACATTGTTTCAGACCAGTCTTGACTATACAGGGAGACTGTCACAAAATTACAAAACCAAATCAAATACCATCACAAAAACAAGAATTTAAGCAAAAAACAGGAATAGTGGAATAAATTACTAGTGGAATAAATTACTAAGTTATTAGCACAGTTCTAGGAGTAGACTAATTGTTCTGTAACCAAGGTACCAAAAGATTCACAGAACTGGTTTTAAATCCATTCAATTATCAATGACAATTTGCCTGGAAAATTTCCATGCCAACTGACCATTAAGTGTTATCTCTGAAAATTAGCAGATCAGGAACAGCCTCATTCAACTAAAGACACCAGAAGTGCCAACTTATTGACAGTAATTATACTCATATGTGATGCCCAAATACCTCTGGATGTGTAAACCTGTTACTACTTGAATCCTACCACTCCCTAAAACTCTATAAGAACAGCTGGGTTCAGTGGCACATGCTTTTACACCCTGCACTCAGGAGGCCAAAGAAAGAGAATAAAAAATGTGATCCAGTCTGAGCTACATAGTGAGATACTATCTTAAAATATCACACACACAGCCAGGTGGATCTCTGAGTTTAAGGCCAGACTGTTCTATAGAACTAGTTCCAGGACAGCAAGGGCTACACGGAGAAACCGTCTTGAAAAACAAACAAGCAAACAACCCCCCCCCCCCAAACACACCAAAACCAAAACAATACAAAACAAAATCATACCAAAAGAACATGGTTAGAGAGGTAAGACAAGCAGATGAGAGTAGGAAATGACTAAGAAGACAGACAGAAAGACAGAGAGAGAGAGAGAGAGAGAGAGAGAGAGAGAGAGAGAGAGAGAGAGAGAGAGAGAGAAAAGAAAGAAAGAAAGAAAGAAAGAAAGAAAGAAAGAAAGAAAGAAAGAAAGAAAGAAAGGAAGAAAGAAAGAAAGAAAGAGGAGAGTGGTGTGTGTGTGTGTAGTATGGAGAAATTTTCCTTACTTCTCTCTTGTAAAATAACTCCTGCTCTTTCTTTTATACTGGTCACTAACAAAGTAAGTATACACTAAGATATTATCCCACAACATCTGAAATTATCATATTTATTTAAGCATTAATGCTATACTTCCCCCATTAGAACATAAGGACTGTGAGACACTGAAGGTTTTTTCAGTATTCTTCATATTGCATTCAAGGATTGTAGCAAGAACTCTATTACTGGGCTGGAGGGATGGCTCAGAGCACCGACTGCTCTTCCAGAGGTCCTGAGTTCAATTCCCAGCAACCACATGGTGGCTCACAACCATCTGTAATGAGATCTGGCGCCCTCTTCTGTATACTTAATAAATAAACAAAACTTTAAAAACAAAGAACTATATTACTTGTTCAATGAACAATAGGATTACCTTTCTGACAACCTGTCATGATTTAGCAACTAGAAGGCCATTGACAAATGGAGAGCAGTTTTAGTGAACAAATAGGTTGTGGAGTAAAAGAAGTTGAAAAACAATAACAAAAAGTACAGACTACACTTAAAGAGACTTTGTGATGCAAAAAGATGAAAGAAGATAATGCAGTAACTGTAAAGGAAAGTCAGGTCCTGTTTGGAACCTGGGGCCTTTGCAGGGACACTTGGCTCAGCCTGAGAGGAGGGGACTGGACCTGCCTGGACTGATCTACCAGGTTTAGCTGAATCCCTAGGGGAGTCCTTGCCCTGGAGGAGATGGGAATAGGGGGTGGGCTGGGGAGAGGGCGGGGGGGGGGGGCAGGAGGAGGGAGGACCGGGGAATCCGTGGCTGATAAGTAAAATTAAATCAAATTATAAAGAAAAAAAAAGGAAAGCCAGGTCAAAGAAAGGGCTTGGCTTTTTTTGTATTTTTTAAATACTAAAAAGCTTTAGTTGAAATCAGGGGATGGGAAATTAAAGTTTGATATTGAGAGTTCAATGAACATTTATTCATGTAATATATATTTTTTAACCTTTTTTTGTGTAGAATAACATGCCCCAAAGCCATCTAAACAAACAAATGCTCACCTAAAGTACACAGCTCAATAAATAGCTGTCTGGCCAAGAACGATAGCATTGCCAGAAACTTCCATCCAACATAATTTTTTTCTTATTTTGTCTACACTTTTACCATCTGAATATAGACCTTAAAATATGCTTTAGTTTTGCTAGTTTGTAAACTTTATAAATAGACTCACGGAATCAGTTCTTTTGGGTCTAAGCTTTATTTATTTAACTTCTTTGTAAGACATATAAATTCTTGCATGGAATTGTGACAGCCTATTTTCTTTGCTATACAGCATATTATGTTCATATAAAGGCCTGGACTTGCTTTTGTATGGCTACTTAGTCAAGACTTGTTTTAGTCAGGCATGGTGGTACATGCCTATATCTCAATACTGAGGAGGATAAGGCTGAAGAATCATGAGCTCATGATCAGCCTGGGTTACACAGTGAGATTTTATCTCAAAATACAAACAAAAAACAATTGATTTATATTTGTATAGTGTTGGATTAAGAAATACAATAAAGAGCAATGTAATGAAGAGTCAACTGCACGAAAATACCATTATCGTAAATCCACTCTATTGTTACTGATATAATTTTCACTATTACCAATAACATTTTGAATATCTTCGCACTTATTTCTTGTGTGCCCTGACACATAAACGATAAATGCATGCCTAGGAGTGGGATAAACAGAGAAAAGCATACATACATGATTTGTCTTTAGTTTGAAGCATTTATTTTCACATCTCACCAAAATGTGTTCATTTGGGAATACTTACTTAAGAATCATAGTCATTGTTTCTTTACGATCTTTTCCTTGGAAAGGTAGTGTACCAGTGAGCATTTCAAACTACAGAAAGGTAAAACAGAGGTATTAGCCAATAAGTATAAAGTTTCAAGGCCAGAAGGTTAAAAGCAAAAATCATCATCTTAATTATAACTAAGTCTTCTAAAATTGCTACCTATAAAGTCATTGTCCCCTTTTCTCTTGTTTAAAACAGCATGAAATCATTCTATTATAGTGTTACTTAATATGCAAGTTGTACTATAATACATTAGTTTTTAAAATAAACATTAATGTTTCTATTATATTTACTACTGAATTTCTTGATAATTCATAAGGCATAAATAACCAAACTATACAATTCTGAAGAAATCAATCATATTTTAAATGGCATTTTTAAAGTGTAAATATGTGACTAGTCTAACAGACTGCCATTTTCCTACTAAGCTTTTTAAAGGGGTATTACCAAGAGAATTCTCTAAGAGGCTTTTGCAAAGAATAAACACTATATATGAGCGAGAATTGTTGAGACCAAGGTTGGATAAAGCACAGGGACAAATAGCCAAACGAATGGAAACACATGAACTATGAACCAATGGCTGAGGGGTCCCCAACTGGATCAGGCCCTCTGAATGGGTGAGGCAGTTGATTGGCTATATCTGTTTGGGAGGCATCCAGGCAGTGGGACTGGGTCCTGTGCTCATTGCATGAGTTGGCTGTTTGAAACCTGGGGCCTATGCAGGGATGCTTGGCTCAGCCTGCGAGGAGGGGACTGGACCTACCTGGACTGAGTCTACCAGGTTGATCTCAGTCCTCGGGGGAGGCTTTGCCCTGGAGGAGGTGGGAATGGGGGGTGGGCTGGGTGGAATGTGAGGGGGGAGAACAAGGGAATCCGTGGCTGATATGTAGAACTGAATTGTATTGCAAAATAAAATAAAATGAAAAAAAAAGATATAAGAACTAGATAAAAAAAAAAAAAGAATAAACACTATTAACGCTTTTGGGCTTATCTAGCCCAATGATACCATAATACAATGTTGTCATTTATAAATTCACGCTTGAGAACTGCCAAATCAAATTAACAAGTGACACCCCCAAACTCTCACTCTCCTAATGTTTTAGATAAGTTTATGATTTTGGGTTGGGCTGTATTCACACATATTTTAGGGTATAAGCAGCTCATGGACTGCAAGTCAAACACATAATGTAGAAAAATGAAAGAAAATATATTTTGGCCTTTACAAATTAGGATGAGATAGAAGCAACCAATAGGTTTTCTAGTCCTACCCTTCAGGCAATCATTTTATTTGGTTACTTAGTATTAATAATAGAAAATATTGAAAATCAAAGTACTAGCTTTTCTCTCATTGTACGCCCTGCCAAGTCTCATTTGAAAAAAAAAAAGAACTTCCACACGTAAAAATCCGAAGTCAAGCCTTACCATCAACACACCGAAAGACCACCAGTCAGCACTCTGAGTATGACCTCTACGATTGACTACTTCTGGAGCCATATATTCCACAGTTCCACAAAAAGAATAAGCTTTCTTCTCATGGTCAATAGACTCCTTACTTAGGCCAAAATCTGACAAAATAAATACTGAATTAATAAATATCCAAAATATTTTACATACATTTTAAACTCTGAATTCCAATACATATTTATAATAAGAAATATTAACCTAAAATTTTAACAATTAACTACTCAAATTTTTTTATCATAATCAACCTTAAAAGAAATAAAGGAGAAAATATTTTAATAAAATGAAGACTTTTACCAGTTAACTTGATGTGACCTTCTTCATCAAGAAGTATGCTGAAAGAAAAAGTCAGAAAAATGTCTTTAAACCATTCTACATGGAGATATACAGAAGCTGAAACTGCAATTACTCAGCCATCAGCTGACCACATTTACTCTAAAGGGTTACTTTTGGCCATGAGTAATGATGAAGAAAACAATTAAACAAGCTCTATTTTTCCGAAGTGCTCTCCCTAATGCTCTTCTATTGAGGGGACCTGTCTAAATCTTGTCCATACATGCTAGACAGATGAAGTACATATTCAATCTAAATTCTCTCTTTTTTTTGAGACAGGATTACACTTCTTCCTGCTTCAGCCTTCCAAGTGCTCGGATTGTAGGTGTGCATCACTCTCCCTGGCTCCTCTGGGTAATTATAATCTCAAAAATAAAATATTAAAAAATAAATCTAAAAAATATTTGTTGATGAATAAAATCAGTCTACAGAGGGTTTAAAAGGCATTCCCAATAATCCTTGCTTCTTCTTAGTAAAAGGGATGTATAAAGGCACAGAGGAGAATATATGGGTATTTAGTGAGTTCTTTAAGTCATCATGCAGAACATCTGGAAAAGGACACTCAAGTATCTAGTTTGGACAAATAATTTTTTGGTCTTTCCTTCCTTTTCTCTCTCATATATTATATCCTGACCACAGTTTCCCCTTCCTCCTCTCCTTCCAGTCCTTCCCCTCAACTCCACTCTTCCTTCTTTCCCTTCAGAAAAGGGCAGGCCTCCCAGGGATATCAACTGAACACAGAATAATAAGTTCCAGTAAGACTAGGTATATTCCCTCATATTAAGGCTGAATGGGGCAACCCATTTGGAGGAAAGGGTCCCAAAAGCAGATAAAAGGGTCAGAGATAGCCCCTACTCCCACTGTTAGGACTCCCCCCAAGAACATCAAACTACATAACCGTAACATATATGCAGAGGACATAGGTCAGACTCATACAGGCGCCCTGACTGTCGGTTCAGTCTCTGTGAGCCTCTATGAGCCTAGGTTAGTTGATTCTGTGGGCCATTTTTTTGTGGTATCTTAACCCCTCTGGCTCCTATAATCCTTACTTGCCCTCTTATGCTATGCCTAATGTTTGGCTGTGGCTCTCTGCATCTTTGAGCAGATAACTTTTGTGGGGGATAATGCCAAATTATGGAGTCACAGGAAGGACTAAATACTAAGCTGTAAACTCATACTTGTATTTTGGGAAAGGCATGCTAGTATACTAACTTTAAAAGTCAAATAATAAGCTATCCTATAATATAGGCATTTTCTTACTTTGAATATGAACTAAAAGCAAATCAAATTTTATTATAATAAAATTTTACTTGGACAAAAAAATTAACTTTTTAATTATTTATTTTTGAGATTATAATTACATCACTTCCTCCTTGTCTTTGCTCCCTAACCCCAAATCTCCCATATACCCATATACCCCTCTTTCAAATTCATGGCCTCTTTTTTTCATTAATTGTTATTGCATGCATATATGTATATATGTATACATATGACGTCTTTAGTCTCTATGTTACTCATATACATATTTTCAGATCATTTGGCTTTGGATAACCAATTGGTGTGCTATTCTCTGGAGAAGACTATTTCTCCAACTGTCAAGATTCCTTAGTTTCCTATAGTTCTTTGTGCAGGGTTGAGGTCTCTTGGGCTTTCTCCTGTACAAGTTAGTAACCAACTTTCTTTTTTTTTTTTTTTTTGGTTTTTCGAGACAGGGTTTCTCTGTGTAGCTTTGCGCCTTTCCTGGAACTCACTTGGTAGTCCAGGCTGGCCTCGAACTCACAGAGATCCGCCTGGCTCTGCCTCCCGAGTGCTGGGATTAAAGGCGTGCGCCACCACCGCCCGGCGTAACCAACTTTCTTAATGGAGCATTCTAAACATAATTACACTGAGAATAATTTAGAAGGGACATATTTTTCAAGTCATTTTCATAACACACTACTTATTAGGAAAAATTCTTTTAATTATGCTTATTTATGAAGCAGTTCAGTATATTTAGGAAACATAAAAGACACTAATAAAGGCCAGTGAGATAGCTCAGTGGGTAAAAGTGCTTTCCATGCAAGCCTGATGGTCTAAGTTTCATGCCTGGAACCTACAGTGGAAGGAGAGAACTGAGTCCTAAATGCAGTTATCTTCTGGTCTCTATACAAGTGTAGAACATGCATGCATATACACTTACACACACACACACACGCAGAGAGAGAGAGAGAGAGAGAGAGAGAGAGAGAGAGAGAGAGAGACAGACAGACAGACAGACAGACAGACAGAGACAGAGACAGAGAGAGAATTCCTAAAGACACTAATTGGATGGTGGAAATATGGCCCTTTCTATCTAATAAATAGAAGACAGTTCTGAAAACAAAACAAATCTCAATCCTCAAGTTATTCCTAGTAATTCAGAAAGTTAAGAAAATCTGGATAAAAAATGTATTACTTATATTTTCCAGACCAAATGTATTTTTTGTTTGTTTCTTTGTTTGTTTTTTTGAGATAGGGTTTCTCTGTGTAGCTTTGGTGCCTGTCCTGAATCTTGCTCTGTAGACCAGGCTGGCCTCAAACTCACAGAGATCCACCTGCCCCTGCCTCCCAAGTGCTGGGATTAAAGGCCTGCGCCACCACCGCCCGGCCCAAATGTATTTTTTTTTTTTTTGGTTTTTTGAGACAGGGTTTCTCTGTGTAGCTTTGCGCCTTTCCTGGAACTCGCTTTGGAGACCAGGCTGGCCTCGAACTCACAGAGATCCGCCTGGCTCTGCCTCCCGAGTGCTGGGATTAAAGGCGTGCGCCACCACCGCCCGGCCCAAATGTATTTTTTAAAAAGAATTTTTTGAGAATAATATTAGTATACAAAACAAATGAATGTCTAGAGATAACAATGCTCATATTTGTCTTTGAAAGAAATATTAATGTTTTCAGCTATTAATGAATATTATAAACATTTTATTGTAATACAATTTTAGTTTTTTTTTTTAATCTAGAAAGCTGATAGTAGTGACATAAGTCTTTAATCCCAGCACTTGGGAGGCAGAGGCAAGCAGATCTCAATAATCTTCTGGGAAATAAAAAACAAACTATATGAAAAATATAGCTGGGTGGTGGTGGCACATGCCTTTAATCCCAGCACTCGGGAGGCAGAGCCAGGCAAATCTCTGTGAGTTTGAGGCCAGGCTGGTCTACAGAGCAAGATCCAGGACAGGCACCAAAACAACACAGAGAAACTCTGTCTCAAAAACAAAAACAAAAAACCGAAAAAATACATAAAATGTAAAAAGCATGATAATTTCTAAATGATCCCTTTATAGGTTTTCATAGGAGCATGCCCTTTATTTTCTGTCACAATACATAATTATAACATCTTGAGCTAAGTAATATTAAAAATACTCAGTAAAATTCAGGTGTGGTGGCATACAACTACAATCAGAACACCTGGGAAGTAGAGGCAGGAGGATGAACAGTTCAGGCACAGGGATTAGAGAGATGGCTCAGCAGTTAAGAGCATTGGCAACTCTTCCAGAAGTCCTGAGTTCAATTCCCAGCACCCACATGGTGGCTCACAGCCATCTATAATGGCATCTGATGCCCTCTTCTGGCATGCAAGTGTACATGCAGATAGAACACAATATACATAAAACAAATAAATCCTAAAAAAAGAAAAAAAAACTTTAATTAAAAAAAGAGTTCAGGCCCAGTTTTGGCTACCTAGTCAGTTCAAGGCTAGCCTGAGCTACGTAAGACTGTTAAAAAAAAAAAAACACCCAAATTCCGATAGGACCTCTGTTGTTCCTTTCTGTGTCAAACACACAGATTGCAAGCCCAGTGTCACTTTGAGATCTTTGGCAGCAGTTAACTCTGCAACTCACACACGATTGAGCCTGTATGATAATGAGTATTCAGAGACGGGCAATGCCTAGGGGGCGCTCACCAATCTAAGACAGAGCGCCTGTGTGGCCTGGGCAGGTGTCTCCATGACGGGTAAGGTGACCTGCTGACGTCCCATGCAACCTAAGTCAGAAGCTCATTTTTTAGTAAAAGAGGGACCTATAGGGCCCTGGCCCCCGTTTTGAGTAACTGTTGCCTTGCTTGCTGACCTTGACCTTGATATCCTCCCTATGCTAATTCCCTGCCGGGTTCCACCCTCCTGAATGCTTAAGGGAAGTTCCTTGTCTGTGTATCCAGGATAATGGGCGTTAACAGCTTAGATGCAAGATTGTAAAACATCGGTAGCGAACTTCTGCCTTCCGGGGTTCTCCCATTGTGCTGTAAGCCTGTATTTAAGACCTCTTCCTTCCTTCAATAAACAGCATTCGGCATTAAAAAACAAACAAACAAACAACAAAAAACAACCCCAAATCCCAAAGGCCAAACAGTAACAAAAAATTGGTAATGGTGATTGCTTTATATACTGAGAAGCAATGAATTGTGTGGTTTATTTTTTTTCAAATTTTTTGATTTATTATTATTTTATGTATATGGATATTTTGCCTGCATGTATGTATGTGCACCATGTACATGCCATGCCTGGTGCCCATGGAGACTAGAAGAGGCCATTGGATCCCCTGAGACTGGAGTTACAGATGGTTATGAGCCTCCATGTGGGTGCTGGGAATCAAACCCAGGTCCTCTAGAGGAGCAACAAGTGCTTTTAACCATTGAGCTAACTCTTCAGCCAAACAAGCTCTATTTTTTGAGATGAGTCTTGGCTATGTTGTTCAGGCAGGTCAAGTGATATTCTTACCTTAGCTTTCTGTGTAGTAGGTCTATAGGCATGTACACTTACTATAGACATGTGGATCTTATCTCAAAAAAACTGTTTAAAAATATTCTTTATAGACCAAGGCTTCTGTTTATATCCTTGAAAAAAGAAAAAACTCCCGTGTGCATATTATATGAAATAATATCACCTTCTTGATAAATGTCACTGTAAGAGCTGTGGAAAATCTGCTCAAGTTATATTTAAAAATTGAAATTTTTTTTTTTTTGGTTTTTCGAGACAGGGTTTCTCTGTGTAGCTTTGCGCCTTTTCCTGGAACTCACTTGGTAGCCCAGGCTGGCCTCGAACTCACAGAGATCCGCCTGGCTCTGCCTCCTGAGTGCTGGGATTAAAGGCGTGCGCCACCACCGCCCAGCAAAAATTGAAATTTTAAGAATAAATTTTGTTTATTTTTTTTGAGACAGAGTCTATGTAGTCCTGCCTGTCCTAGAGCTTGCTATATAGACCAAGTTGGCCTTAGAGATCCACCTAGCTCTGTCTCCCAAGTGCTGGGAATAAAGGTGTATGTCACCAAGGCTGGCTAAGAAGAAATTTTCGATAAACAGTATTTTGGAGAAAGGGTTAGCTCTACACCATTCTTCATAGAGCTAAGTAAAAGAAAAAAAAAGTACAATTAGAAGAAAAATATCATCATGACATTGGGAAAAACTCTTCTACCAATAAGTCTTTGGAGAAATTATATAAGATTAGTTGGCCCAATGAGACAAAAAAAATGTGTATGGTTTTTAAGGAAAAGATTTGTAACATATGTGAAATGATTAAAGTTCTCTTTTTCCCCCTTTTTGTGATAGGAGTCTCAATACATTGCCTCGACTGACCTCAGATCTGTGCTTAAGTAATCCTCCTGCCTAAGTTTCCCCAAGAGATATGACTACATACATGAATGTTCAACTGTTTCTGGATAAATGGTTAGAATACTTAGTTTGGGGCTGGCAACAGGGCTCAGTGGGTAAAGATACTTGCCGCCAACCTGAGTTCAATCCCCAGTACATGCATGGTAGAAGGGGGAACATTGACTGCTATGGGTTGTCCTCTGATTTGCAATATACACCATGGTGTGTGTGCACACCCATACAAAATAAAGAATTGAAGATAATTTAAAATATTTTTAATTTGTAAAGTTCTCTTTTAAATCAATGGGAAAAATGATATTCCAAAAGAAAAATGAATCAGGTCATGAATAGAACCCCCCCCCAATACAAACTGCCAACCAATAGATTTTAATATCATTTAAAAAATCAAAGAATGTAAATGAAAAACAAGAAAGCCAGGGGTAGTAGTGCACGCCTTTAATCCCAGCACTCGGGATACAGAGGCAGGTGGATCTGTGAGTTCGAGGCCAGTCTGGTCTACAGAGTGAGTTCCAGGACAGACAGGGAAACATAGGGAGACCCTGTCTCAAAACAAACAAACAAACAAACAAAATAAATGAAAACAGGTTAATAGTGTTGTTTAGCAAAGATTTTACAAGTATAAGATCATTTAGTATTAGCAGACATGTGAAGCACAGTACTACAAGGAAGTGCTGTGGAGATCTACTAAGTCAGTAAATTTTATGACCTCCTGTATAGCTATATCACACTGAATTCAATGTAATAGCATGGCTCCTTACTTTTCTGGTTTTAAGTCTCTATAGATTATTCCCAGGCTATGCAGATGGTCTAAAGCAAGTGCAAGTTCAGCCAAGTAGAATTTGACATCCTCTTCTGTGAACATCACCTACAACAAAATAATATTCCCAACTTTATTTTCTTTTTATGTCTATGACATTTATGTGAAATTCCACCTAAGACTTTAAATATTCAATTTGTAAATATGTTAATCAGACATAGATTTAGTTACAATTTACTCATGAAAAAATGTGCAAAATGATCTAATCAGTCAAGTATAATCACTTGCTAAATGTTAACTATGCCCTGTTGCAGAAATGGTTTTTAGCATATTAACATTTTAAAAATGGAAAATGATTTTGAGAATAAATGCTGAATTGACAATATCAATTATTAAGGACATTTATTGATACATTATCAATTTTGAAAAAACTATGAAAGCAGTAGGGTTAAGCCAAATTCTCCAAATAAAGCGCTGCTTTCAGTATAAATTCAAAAGATAGAAAAATAATATTTTTTGACTCAGTTCCTTGAATGAAAGAATTCTGTGCTATAAGAGAATATGATACATGCAACATTGAAATAACAAAGCTTTAATTAAAATAGGATGAGTAGAAATAAATTAAAAAGACATTAATTATATACCTCTTTGGATAAGCGTGTAAACAAATCTCCTCCCCTGAGAAAATCCAAAATAAGATACAACTTCCCTTCAGTTTGAAAAGCTGAATGAAGAAACAAAATTTCTGTTTAGATCATTGTAGTTTATTTTTTAGGCTTATATTAAGTCAATTCATTTATAAATGTTATTTTTAGCACATAAGTGATATCAGAAATCTAAACTTATTTCTACATAGAAGAAAGAAAACACTGATTCTCTTAGTTTCCATGAGGAAATGTCAAATACAGTGTGTATTATCAGGGAACTAAATTTTCTACAGGCAAGAGTTCCCTCAAGAATGCTACCATTCTAAATGTGATCAGTAAGAAAAACTCACACCAGAAAGATTTAACTATGAATTATGATACAAAGCTATGCCACAGGGGTGAATTGGTTAGATTTAATAACATACTACAAAAATTCTGTTATTTACACACTGAGAAATAGCACTTGCCTTTCAGAGAAAAGGAAAGGTAGGTGACAGAAGTTTTAGGATGCTGATACTGGGCCTCTTTCTTGTATTCAGCTTGGGCTAACACATAAGGACTATAAAATGGTATCACAGTGTTATGTAGCTCTATATATTTAGTGTACCTGAATATACTTGGAGTGAGGGAATGTAAAGGGATAGGGTGAGAGGTGGTTCAAAACTTACCATAATGCAATTTGACAATGAAAGGATGATTGACTTCTACCAAGATATCACGCTCCATTTTTGTCCGAACACGGTCTCGAACTACAAAGGATTGAACACATGATACAATGCAAGTATTTTCAAAGGTAATATTAAAACAAATTCTTTTTATATTGCATTTTAATTAGATTTTGCTAATGTGCATAAAACACACATTTTTATTGCTGTTGAATTTTTTAAATCTATAAAAATAACTTTTACTACATTACATAATCAAAGGCAACTATGTATTTATAAACTCTATGCTCTAAGTTAAAAATATGTAAAATATATTAGGTATTAGGTTTAGGAGCATTTTTGTTGAAGTTGTGGAAAACGGCAAAAAGCATGTCAGTTTTTAAAAAACAAGGCATTTCATGGAACATTAAAACAATAACCTGAAATAGGTTTCAGTACTTTTACTAACCCTATCACGTCAATAAATGTTCACAAATTATCTGTAAAATGTGGCAGACTTGGTAAAGGATAGATATATCCCAATTGGTCTATTTTGAAGGAGAGAGAAAAGAGGAGGGGTAGATTGAAAATGTACAGCAGAAAGAGCCAAAGGTTTGTTTTGCTTTGTTTTTTGTTTTTTTTTTTCTTTTTAATTAAAAAGTACTGATTCTAATTTGTATAATCATGAGTAAGTTACTTATTTAAACTCTGTGGAACCTCAGTTACCTTTCAGGTATAAAATTGGGTAATCCTACTATACCTTTGAAGAATCTGTGATTACTTGGATAAAGCCTGTGTGTAAGAGGTATTCAAGTAATGGACTATCATTATATTGAAAAGCAGTAGTGTGCATATGCCTAATGGACATTTTTTTTGAGACAGGGTTTCTCTGTGTAGCTTTGCGTCTTTCCTGGAACTCACTCTGTAGACCAGGCTGGCCTCGAACTCACAGAGATCTGCCTGCCTCTGCCTCCTGAATGCTGGGATTAAAGGCGTGCGCCACCACTGCCCGGCATATGTCTAATGGGCATTTTATCACCAGTGGTAAATATTACTGGAGTTCAGAGAAAGGCAAGATCAGTTTTACTTGTATGGGAAGACTAGAAGTCTAGAAGAAGAAGCAGGGTTAGGTTATGAGCTCTAAGACTCTTCCAGTGGGATTTTCCAATAGGATGGAAAAGACGTGTTCTAAAAGAGTCCAAATATGGAGTATCAACACCTGAACAGACATGGAAGCATAAATAATGACTTGGAAAGAGGCATATCAATGTGGAAACAGAGGTTCACTATAGGGTAGTTGGCATATAGAGGATCCAGATTCATGACAAGCTGAAATGCTGGGAATAATTTGGGTTTGTGGTAAAACTTTTTTTCTAGAAAACATTTCCTGAGCAAAGCCTATAATGCTAGGCACTAGAGCTAGAAGTACATCCAAAGGCTTGAATATAGTAGGGATGAGAACTAAGTAAATGATCAGAAAACATTCTGAAAGCCAGGTGTTGTGGCATGTGTCTGCAATCACAGCATTTTGGAGGTGGAGGTAGGAGCAGTCACTGTTCAAAGCTATTCTCAGCTATGTGGTAAGCTTGAGACCAGCCTGGGTTACACCAGACTCTGTCTCAAAAAGCCAAACTGAACCAAAACAACAAAAACATTTAATGTTTATGTTAGTGATTAAGTCAAAAAGAAAGATGGAGAGTGTGTGTGAGAAACTTGGGTTGGTTTTATTTTCAAGGGAACCACAGATATTTAAAACATAGAAATAAGACCTTTGGGAAACAAACTCCGGTGAGAGATGGCTCACTGGGCAAAAAGGTACTGCTAAGCCTGATGACCTTCCTTTGATCACTGAGGCCCATGGTGGAGGAAGAGAACGAACACTAGTAAGTCATCCTCTGAATATGAGTGAGTAAGAAGAAATGCTATTTGTGTTTCCAAGAATGTATATAGACAATTGTTTGATGTATTGATGTATGAAGTCTTTTAGGCTGACAGACCACCCTAGCAGGACAAAAATTCCGCATTAAATTGATCGAATGTCGTTAACTTCTAGTTGACGGCACTCAGTGTATTAGTAGGAACTTTGAAGTGGAAAGACTTCTGGGTAAACATGGGTGTTCTGTTAATTATTTCTAAAATCCCACTAAAATGACATTAATAGAAAAATGATAGTAGGAAGCTCTTATCTGCAAGGGCTATCTATGGTTTTAGGACTCTTTGTGGGTACCTAAAACCACTGAAATACCAACCCTGCAGACACATACCTATGATAAAATATAATTTCCACATTACACACAGTAAGAAATAAAATAAAAACAAATAATGAAAGTTATTTGGCCAGGTGGTGGTGGCGCACGCCTTTAATCCCAGAATTTGGAAGGCAGAGGCAGGTGGATTTCTGTGAGTTCAAGGCCAGCCTGGGCTACAGAGCGAGTTCCAGGACAGCCAAGGTGGTTACATAGAGAAATCCTGTCTCAAAAAACAAAAACAAAACAAACAAACAACAAAAAAAAAACGAGGAAGAAAGTTCTTTGAAGGTGTTTTTATTCTCAGTCTCTTTCCTTCTCCCAAAATATCTTACTGAAATTGCAGCTTTTCACTTAAAAGAAGGCTTTTGGTTGGCATGTCTAAATTACCAACATCATTAATTTTGTGTTTTGGAGAAATTATTACCATAAGTTTTGCTTAAAATTTCCAAGAAAACATGAGAAGAAAAAAAAAAAACCAAAAAGACAGAAATGGTTGGGCGGCAGCGGCGCACGCCTTTAATCCCAGCACTTGGGAGGCAGAGCCAGGTGGATCTCTGTGAGTTCGAGGCCAGCCTGGGCTACAGAGAGAGTTCCAGGACAGGTTCCAAAGCTACACAGAGAAACCCTGTCTCAAAAAACCAAAAAAAAAAAAAAAAGACAGAAAGGATAAAAATAGTAAAACTTAGAGAATCACCCAGGAAGCACAACATACCCCCAAACTAGGTGTCACAAAATGGAGAATACATGACAAAAAAAAAACTCCACAAAACTTGAAAATATGAGTCCCTAGATTCAAAGGGACCACCCATATTTGATATGATGAAATTTTTCCACCATGCACTCAAAGATACTACTTCATATATGTCAGGACACATTTTTAGATATACACGTACACACACACACACACATGCACACATATACACTTCTGGAGAGGAAAAGTTGCTAACACACAAAGGACTGGCAAATAGAATGGCAATGGCCTTCATCACTAGAACACGGGAAACAAGAAGACAATGGAAGCAGTACTTTCAAATATCTGAGGGAAACTTATTTGTGACCTAGAACTGTAAACCTGATCAAGTCATAAATTCAGTAAGGGGGCAGATATACTTTCAGACATGCTAGATGACACAAATTTTACCATGCAGTTGCCTTTCTACAGTAGCAACTAGGAGATACATACAACCTAATCTAGAAGGTATACTGAGTAAAAGGTAGGAAAAAAAAATCCAGAAAAAGGAAATATAGCAAAGATATGAAGGACACCTGTTCCAATGTATTATTTCATTCAGTTGTGATCAATTTTTTTAAAGAAATTTATTTAATTTTATTTTATGTGCATTGGTGTGAAGGTGTTAGATCCCCTGCAACTGGTTACAGACAGTTGTGAGCTGCCATGTGGGTGCTGGGAACTGAACCAGGGTCCTCTGCAAGAGCAGTCAGTGCTCTTAACCACTGAGCCATCTCTCTAGCCCCAACGATCAATTTTTATAATGCAGAAATAATGAGAACATTGCTGGGCAGATGTAGACATGAAAACTGTGGGTGGCAGCATAAAGCAACTAAACCCGAAAATCTTCCATGCTGGGAAATAAACAGATTATGGCTCCAAATGAAAACAAACAAAGGATTGCAAAGATGAGTGTGGAATGTGAAAGTGAATGCGAGAAGCAGCAAGTCAGTGACTCTGGAAGGCTCAAGAATTAGGACAGGCATGGAGATGTGGTAAATGTACAGCTGCCTAGCCGGGCGGTGGTGGCATATGCCTTTGATCCCAGCACTCGGGAGGCAGAGGCAGAGGCCAGAGGCCAGAGGCCAGAGGCCAGAGGCCAGAGGCCAGAGGGCAGAGGGCAGAGGGCAGAGGGCAGAGGCAGAGGCAGAGGCAGAGGCAGAGGCAGGTGGATCTTTGTGAGTTCCAGGCCAGCCTGGTCTACAGAGTGAGATCCAGGACAGGCACCAAAACTACACAGAGAAACCCTGTCTCGAAAAACAAAAACAAAAACAAACAAAGTACAGCTGCCTTACATGATAAAACTTTGATAAAAATAAAATCCATATTTAAGAACACATCCAAAATTATCTAAAGTTTACAATTCTATAACTCTAATGTTTGCATACACATTTTAGAATTTCCTTCCATAGCTTGTGTCTATATAATTTTATGTACTTGTAATAGCCTAATGTGTTATATTTTTCAGTTGTGTTTTCATTAATTTCTATAATCATATTTAAAACATTAATTTTCATTCCATGTGTATTAGGAGTTTGCCTGCATGTATGCCTGTTACCATATTCATGCAGTTCCTGTGGAGGCCAGAAGAGGGCAGTCGAATCCCCTGGAACTACAGTTACAGACAGTAATGCCTTGTGGATACTGGGAATTGAACCTGGATCCTCTGAAAAGCAGCAAGTGCTCAACAACATTTTGTTTAATCTTATTTTATATTAAGTATGATACCATGATTTTCCAAACATTCCTTTTTCAATATCTATGCAATTTTTTTATCATATTATTGTAAGTGTTTGTGAATATTTTCAAGTGTAGGAACTCATTCTGTAAGGCTATTTCCTCAGGTTAATTCAGTAGCATTAATGACAACTTTGTGCTTAATTCAAAACTGCTATGCTGCCATCATATGAAATAACATTATTATTTGGTGTACATTTCTTGTTTAAAATGTATATTATTTAATATAAATTTCTATTTTATGGAATTCATCATTTCCTCAAAGATTTTTTTTATTAATTTTTTTTCACTTTACATACCAACCCCAGTTCCCCCTTCCTCCCCACTACCCATCATCCTGACCCCCATTCACTCCTCAGAGAGAGTAAAGCCTCCCTTGGAGAGTCAACAAAGTCTGGCATACCAAGCTGAGGCAGAGCCTAGCTCCTCCCCTCTGCATCAAGGCTGAGCAAGGCATCCCTCCATAGGGAATGAGCTCCCATTTTATTTTATTGTTTTGGATATGTATGGGCCTTTTGCCTGCATGTGTATCTGTGTATTACTTATGTGTGATTAGTGCTCACAAAGGCCAGAGGAGGGCAGAAGATCCTCTGGGACTGAAGTTGTGAGCCACCACTGTAGATACTGGGAATTGAACCTGGGCCCTCTGGAAGAGCAGCCAGTGCAATTAACCACTGAATCATCTCTCCAGTCCCCACTCAAAAGATTTATCTTCCTAAGTAAATTTGTTCAAAGTCCTTTACATAAAGTTGTAATAATATGCCTTATCAACTCCTACCTACACCATTATTTTTACATTTATTAATTGGAATTCTACTGCAAAGAGATTTCCTTTCTTCTTCATTAATTTATGGATTAACTATGGATTCTTATTTAATACGAATTTAATAAACTAATACTACTAATTATTGCAGTGGACAAACCACTCCAGAGACAACTCCGGACGTCTATTTCTTTTTCTGTGTGCAAGTGTGTATATACATGTGTATGTGTTGTATGCGTGTGTGCGTGCGTGCGTGCGTGCGTGCGTGTGTGTAATCCTAAAGAATTAAAGCTCTTTTGCATCTGTATGATTAGTACGTTTTCCAAAATATTCAAATAATTTGAAGATGAATCAAACCCAGTTTTAATCTTCTCAACTTCTGCTTGCTTAAAGCCCAAGATAAATTGATAATCCTTCTTTTCTAACATGGTAAGTCCTGTTCTCAAGTCATATGACTCTTAGCCTAGTAGGAAAGTCACTGGAAGTCAGTCTAAATTTAAAGCTGTTAACAGGAGCCAATTCAGAATCTAAGTGGCCTCAGGGTCACGTGAGCTTCATGGCGACCTTTTGGTTTGTTTAGACTACATGAACATGGCAAATAGCAGCAGCACTCACCTTTCAGTGTGGCCTTCTTTAATACCTTCATGGCATAAAGCTGTCTAGCATCAGAGCCTGAGATTTTTTTAACTAAGAAAACCTATGTTGAAATGACAGAAAATAAATGTTACAAAGAATCACAAACAATATTCCTTTGTTACAACAATACCCCATTATATATACAAATACATTCTAATATATTATAAATGCATTTTCTCCAAAATATTATTGGTTGTTAATAGAAGTTATAAACAATAGTTATAGATTGACATTTCAATACAGGTGAATGGTACTGTTTTTCATTTCGTTGTTTGCCAGTCCCAAAGGAGCATATAATATATAGAATAAGACAAAAGTCTTTCAACTATGAATATAGCAACTAAAGAACAGCTCCACACATTCAACGTATACCACAGGAGATGGTGACTGTGCTTTATTGAAACAAAATTCTTCTGAGTCCCTCAATTTTTCTGGGTGTTGGGGGTGTAACCTGGGTTCTCATTCACACTAGGCAAACACTTTACTATTACGCTATATAGGCCTAGTCCCATACCACAATTCCTTTCTTCATTAGTTTTTTTTAATCAGATTTACCTTCTCCATTATTTTCTTGTCATCTTCCCCTTCCTAACTAGTCTTCCTTCTATTTTCATGTCTCTTTTTATGGTGACCAATGAGCTTAATTAGTGTTGCTTATAGGAGCATGGACATCTAACTAGTGGCTATACCACTGAAGAAAATGTCCCTCCCTTCCTGAGCAACCATCAACTGTCTAGGAATCTTCAGGGAGGGGGGTAGACCCTTCTGAGTCGCCTCCATCAAAATTCTTACACCGGGGCTTCTTGTGACAAACTTCTGTTGACACATTTACTCACAGATGAAGGGTTTTTTCTCTGTATGAAAAGTATACACACATCTATCTCACTGCTAGGGAGAGTAATTTAAAAAACTGCCAATGAAGAATCCTAGACATCAATATTTAACATGACACTACCTCTTCACCTTTTTACTAGCAAATCAGCATATATATCAAAGTACAAAGATTACTATTTAGCATCTTCAATTTTCATATATTTGGAGATTCTTTAAAAAGAGTGTGGGGTTTAGGCAAAATAAATAAGACGTGCTTTAAATAACTCATAACTGCTGTAATATGGCTGATACAAATACTTATCAATACATCATATTAATTTTGACTATTTCATTCTTGACCTTTGCCACCAAGACTTAAAGAGAGCTGCTAAATAGCCCTGATATTTTTTGGGGTGTGTGTATGCATGTGTAGCATATAATAGAGAAGGCTGTTGGGTGTCCTGCACTACCACTCTCCATTTCATTCCTCTGAGATACACCCTCTCACTGAACTTGGAGCTACTCTGCTAGCCAACAAGCCCTAGCAACTTTCCTGTCTCTGCTCTTCACAGTGCTGAGGTCACAGGTGCCCAGGGCCACATCTGGCTTTTTACATAGGTGCTTTGGATTTGAACTTAGGTGCTCTTACTTGGCAAGTCATCTCTCTAGCTTCTGGGCATGTATTTTAACCTATTTCTTTTACCTATTCTTTTCAATCAAGCAGTGTCCCCCACTTTTTGGAGACTGGGTCATACTCTGGATAGCCCAGGCTGCCCTGGAACTCAACTATAATTTGCATGCCTCAGCTCCTAACTGCTGGTAATTAGAGATGTAAGCCACCATGCCTTGATGGAAAGCAGTGTTCTTGAGCTGCTATGGGTGGGAAGAAGATTTAAGTTTAGGGTCAGCTTTCAATTATCTGACTTACACATTGTGTGATTAGCACAAAAATCTCCAAATAATCCATCAACTCATTCTCAGGCAAGGTAGAATTTTATTGTTTTGAGAAATGGTAAAAAGCCAATGGGTAATGGAATCAAATGAAAAGCATCACATCTCACATCGGCCCCCAGAGGTAGGATGTGCTCTCCCATAACTGTGTTCTCACTGCCAGCATTAAGGCCCCACCCAGTAGCTCTTTTAGTCAATTATGGGGAGCTGACCTAGAAGGAGAAAAGCATTTTTAATAAGTGTGGTTCTAAGGTAGACTATTGTTCAAATGTTAAAGGCAGTCAGATATTAGTAATAATTATAATGAACAGAAATAAATTTTTTTTTAAAGGGGAGAGCGCGAACGCAGTCCCCCACTACCACAAATTATGCAGTCGAGTTTCCTGCATTTGGGGAAATCGCAGGGGTCAGCACATCCGGAGTGCAATGGATAAGCCTCGCCCTGGGAAAACCACCTTCGTGATTATGGTATCTCCCCTGCCAGGTAAGTATCAGAAATAAATTCTAATTGGGTAGAGGTAATTAGAGATTGTCCTATCAATGTCTTTATTCCGTTGCAAAGGGGAAATTCGTATGGCTTCTAAACTTGTTTCAGTTCTTTGAAAGCACCCTCTTAATGACTTTCAGCACTTCTTAACTTTTACAGTACCTTCAGAAACATTTGCAATGCAGCATCATGACCATGTGAAGAGACAAGTCTAAACAATGCCAGTTTTATAGCTGCTCAAATCAGGGCTTAGAGAAATCAAACAATTTGCCTGGCGTCATAGTAGGACAAGATCCGGATCATATACTCAGTTCTGGGGCCCTACTCATGGCATTCTTTAACTGTTTGCTTAAGCCAGTGAGCTGCTAAGCTTAGTGACAGCAGCAGGAGTCCTCACTTGCTCACACAGCTATTCTAGGCTCTGACAGGTTATCCCTGTTTCCTTGGTTTACACTGGCCTTTAAGGATGAGTAAGAAAGAAGACACCCTATTTTAATGTTTGCTATTTATAGTGAGGCACTTAAAGTACTTTTAAAGAAATAAAGGGAGAAGCATTCAAATTCCTTGAAACTTAACTATTATGTTCCTTGAAATCTAATGTATAAAAATAAACTCTATTTGGGTTTGTTGAAGAGTAGGTAATACAGTTAATGCCCGATGTGTTTGGCCTTGTACCATTTAATTCTCACTGTTATCCTATGAGGTCAACACTATGACTCATTAATATCTTTCAAAATTGTATGCTAGGCACCATGCTACTCATGGAACCTCTAGTCTACAGAGAGAGATAGCCAATAAGTAATTTTACAAATGAGTAACTGCAACTGTAGTGAGTGCCATAAAGTAAAGGTATATACTGTTCCTAGGGTGTATAACTAAGGAGTGTGACAAGTAGGGTGGCAGGAAAGTCTTCTCTGAGATCACAGGCACAAGAAGAGTTAACCAGCTGAAGACAGTTTAGGACCAAAAAAAGACCAATGGGGTCAGAACACAGTATTGGATAACATTTAAGCTGATGTTTTAGAGGTGGCTAAAGAGTCAGACTCAGGGGCTCCTCTGAAATTTTAAGAATTTGTCCTTATCATAAAAACAAAGGGAGGCAGTTGAGGAGTTAATATAACACCAGTTCATACTGGTTCTCATGTACACAAGTGAGGTTAAGAAAAGAAATTGGAGCCGGGCGGTGGTGGCGCACGCCTTTAATCCCAGCACTCGGGAGGCAGAGGCAGGCGGATCTCTGTGAGTTCGAGGCCAGCCTGGACTACCAAGTGAGTTCCAGGAAAGGCGCAAAGCTACACAGAGAAACCCTGTCTCGAAAAAAAAACCAAAAAAAAAAAAAAAAAAAAAAAAAAAAGAAAAGAAATTGGGAAGATACTCTTATAAGACTCTTTCAATAGAGCAGGGAATGACAGTGGCAATGCAGGATAGGATTTCTATGATTTCAAAACTATTTACTAAATCAACAGGATTTGGTGATGAGTCATACTGGCTGGGGGTGCTATGTGACATGGTGGGGGTTAGAGGGTGGAAAAGAAGAGAGGAGGGAGCAGACCTAAGAAAGATCGTAAGAATGCCTCCCCAGTTTCTGGCTTGTTTAACTGGATACTATTCACAGTGACAGAGAAAAATGAAATAGTATAGAATTGGGGGTGCTAAAGATTGTGAGTTTGGTCTGAGACACACCAAGCACAAAATAAAATGCCTTTGAGACAAATGGGGGTGAAGAGTAGCCACAGAAAGAGTTCAGAGGTCATAGAAAAAACAGATTGGAAATATAAATCTGTGATGTCAGCGGCATGTGAATTACAATTAATATAGGGACATAGAGAAAATCAATTAGTGAGGAGTACAAGATGGCAGTTTAGAATCAAACCTCAAGGAACTTCAATATTTAATGACATGCTAGAATAGGGAAACAGAGCTCTAAGAGATTAAATAACATAGTGATAAGTAGAAAAAAAATGAGTTCAGTCTGGCTGACCTTGGGTTGAAACATTTTATTTTAGGGGTTGGGGAGTTAAACTTAAAATCATCATGCTCTGCTGGCTCTTGAGTCTATATTTGGATTAAAAGTATGCTCTATGTTTAAAAGTGGCTAAACAACCATAACAAATTATCTGTATTAGCAAAGAGTTGCTAAACAGCCCCACTAAAATACACAAGAGAGATCCACTGATGCCATTTTGATGCTTACAGAGCATGATACTTTCCACTGTTTTCTTATAGGGAGGTGGTAAGGAATTACTGCACTGTCAAAGTTGCATGAAATCTCAGAATATTGTTCTTGTTGAAAATCTGTCTCGAAAAATCAAGTAGTAGCAGCTTGGGAAGTGGAAAGTAGAAGGACTGTTGGGAGTTTGAGGCTAGTGTGGGCTAGAGGGAGACCCTGTCTTAAAACAACAATAACTACAACAATAAGAGAACAAAAAGAAGAGAGTGTATGAAGGGGATAGCTTGTGATTTTTAATCATTCAAGAAGCACGAGAGCTGAGAATACAGCTTAGCAATAGTGGGCTTGTTCAACAAGCCCTGACACGCTAAGCCTAATCTCCCCATTGCAGACACAAAACAAAGTAAACAATACACCCACCCTAGCAGCAGGACAAGAAATGACAGTCTTAAAGATAAAAAAAAATGAGTATGAACACTGTCAATTTACTAAGGTTTCTACTGTAGTTCTGAAATTCTATTCTTTTCATACGTACTAATAGCAAAAATATAAAAAGAGAAAATATTGCTGGTAGAAAGACTGGTAGCATTTCATAAAATATCTCTTTTCCAATGTGATAAAACATCCATGAATTATTAAGAGTCAGCTCTTTTTGAGACAGGTTCTCATTCTAGTCTAGGTTGACCTAGGCTGGCTTCAAACTCATGGCAATCATCCTGTTTTATCCTCTCAATTGCTAGGATTGCAAGCCCAAGACATTAACTCCTTTTAAATCTGAAGACATTAACTCCTTTTAAATCTGAAGATCTTTTGAATTTGTATTCAGTTCCCTTTAACGTGTTTTTTTCTTTTTTTGAGATAGAGTCTCATGCAGCTTAGGCTGGCCTCACACTCTCTCTGATTCTGAGTGCTGGGATTGGAGGCTTTTGTCACAGGTACTGTTTTCCTTGTAATGTTTTTTTTTTTTTTTTAAGACAGTCTCTCTATGTAGTCCTGCCTATTCTGGAACTCACTATGTAGACCAGGTTGGCCTCGAACTCACAAAGATCTGCCTGCCTCTGCCTCCTGAGTGCTAGGACTAAAGGCATGTGGCACTATGCCAAGCCTCCTTGTAACTTTCTAATCTAAACCTTATGGTTTAGGATACATACATATATTTTATTATTTATGAAAATATTTATTTTTATTTTTTTATTTACATGTATCTATGTCTGTCTATAGATGTGAATGTGCCCACAGAGGCAAGAAGAGTGTGCCAGAACTCTTGAAGCTAGTTGGGAGTTACAGCTGGTTGTGAGCTGCCCAATGTGGGTGCTGGGAACCAAACTCTTCTGAAAGAGCAGCAGGCATTCTTAAAAAAATGAATCATCTCTCCAGCCCCATCTATGTATATTTTAATGGATATAACTATACATAGTTATGGGGCATAATACAACAATTTGATAAATATATGTAATGAATAATAACCATATCTGAGGAATTAGTATTTATGTATCTTTAAACATGTATAGCCAGTTGTGGTGGTACATGCCTATAATCCTAGTTAGTACTCAGGAGACTGAGGCAGAAGGGTTGTGTAACCTGCCTCACAGTAAGATCCAATGCCCCAAAAGATGTTAACTTTCCTTGTGCTAAGAACCTCCAAACTTCTCTGCTAGTTCTTAATAAAATATGTAATAAGTTGTTGTTAGCTATAGTCATGCTACTGTGCTATAGAACATTAGATCCTATTCCTTCTATGTATCTAATTTTGGTATCCATTATCTAGCCTCCCTCTATTCCAAGCTTTGTATGATTAGTATTCTATTTTCTATGTTTACCGTATTTCTATAAACTTTGCTTAGAGCATACAATTATGACTTACCTTTCCAAATGATCCTTGCCCTAATACTTTCAAAAGCTCAAACTGGGAAGGATCTGCCTTTTCATGTCCTTCCTTCACATGATGTGTGATTGCAATTTCTTTGATACTGCCTTCTTCCTGTTGAAATACATATAAAGAGACAAAACACTTGTTAGTCATAATCAAATATCTTAACTTAGTATAGCATATTAGAAATGCTCAAATTAATATACAAAACTACTCTTGACTGACTCATCAAGTAAATAGAAAACACACATCAAGTAATTATACTTTCTAGCTAAATGTTAGAGAATGTTAAGCCATAATAGTTTCTATATAATATTAGCACTAATTATTTCCAAATCTTTATTCTTTCTTTCGGAAAGAATTAGGATAGTTTTGAGGGGGGAAAGCATGTGAGAATATCTGAAATAGCAGATTAGAGTACTATACTATGTCTGGCATGTGACTATAGCAGGTGGAACAAACGCTATATATTAAAGCACTATTTGTTGGGGGAGAGGGACTGAAAACTGTCCTAGGGTAAACACATGGTTCCATCCTTAACACAGCTGTCTAAGAAAGCATACTGAAGAGGAGCAAGAAAAAGCAGAGTGAAGTTTTATGTTTGAAATACGTAAGTTACTTCCTGTTTTCAAAGGAGATAAAGGGCTATTAACACTAAAAACCGAAGTCAGAAAAGATTTAATATTTGGATAGAGGGATTAAACATGGGAGGAAAGGGCTGTTTTACACAATAAATACAATGAAAAATCTTCAGGCCAAGAAAGGATGTTTTGAGATAGTGTCTTATTATGTAGATGAGGCTGGCCTCCAACTTTTCCCAAGTGCTGGGATTATAGGCATGCAACACCACATTCATCTTAAGGAAGGATCTTCAAAGCCCACAGTAGATACTAGAAAATATATAATGTGTACATAGGATTTCAATTGCCTATTTGTATTGAGATAAGCAGATTAATCAAGACAATACTGTGTTATAGACAAAAACAGCAACAATAAAACAAAATTTAGTAAAACCAGAGGTACAAGCCTGTTAAATAAACACTGTCATTTCTACTTTGTTAACTATGAATGCTAGTTTTTCTAGATGCATAAGTACTGGTAGAAGAATCTAAAAGTGTTATACAAATACTTTTGTTTTTGGAGCTAGGTTTCACTGTGTAATCCAGGCTGGCCATGATCCTCCATGATCCTCCTGATCCTCAGACTCCAGAGCACTAAGATTATAAGCATGTGCCACCATACCTGGTTAGCATTTTCTCATATACCCTTAAAGGCTGGAAATAAACTCAGTGGTAGAACACTTGTTTAACATGTGGGAGGTCCAAGATTGGTACTATAAAACGAACCAACCAACAAACTACCAAACAAGAATTACAGTGTACAGAGATTTCTCAAAAAAGATACAATATACCCTAATGTAGTTTCTGGAAATGGGCAGTAAAAAGAAAAGGAATCTCCAGGTAGAAGATATAAAGGAATATACTATTTTAGTTTCCAAAGCAGATGTGCTGTGTTGTTCATAGGCTAGCCTACTACTTCAGCAACTTACTCCGTTTGGAGTCTTTTAGAATTTTAACAACAATAACAAAAAATTTCCCCCAATATCGTCATGTATTTTATAATTTCACAAGCATTATTCCCTTTATGTGAAATATTAGAGTAGAACCAAGCATCAGCTGAGTCTAAGGTGCTACCTCTTTCTGAACACATTTCTCTCTGAATGAGACTGAGCAGTTACAGTAAGAAAATCAGGAAGAAAACTACCAAATTAAACAATCTTTCCGAAGAATAATGCATATGGAAGAGTGATAAATAAGATTTAGATGAAAATCCAGCAAATACTTATTATCTATCTTGTATCAAACATGCATTAGGTGCTTTTTCACCTGATATCTTGTATTTACATTTGGTGACAAACCTTTGACTTTTTATTAATGTTTTTGAGGGCTGAGGATAATACAGAATAAATTTCCAGATCAGACACAAGCATTTCAGAATTCTAATGTGTTCTCCCAACTCCATTCACCATGAGAAATTTAACAGATCTTTTCAAGGCAAAATGTTTTGAACAATCTTCAGTCTAAAGTTTAAAGAGATTAAATGAGGGCTAAAGAGCATAGCCAGTATGTTCCAGACTCAGTCAGGACTCAATTCTAACTTCCAAACAAGGCCCATACAGTTACACTACTCTAAAGCTGGTGGATGTTCTTGGTGGTTTCCCACACAAGAACAATGACAGGAACCTACAGATTTTATGCCCCTGGGCTTTGTGGTCTTTGTTTTTGACACAGGGTATCACTATCAGTTTAAGCTGGCCTTGAACTTCTGGTAAATCTCTTTGCCTCAGCCTCCTAATTTCTGCAATTACAGGTATGAGCCACTATGCTTGGCTGTAACTAGTCGCCTATCTTTTGCTTCAGTTACCTCAGTAGCACATCCTTAGCAATAAAATTATTATCATACAACCAATATTTGTATGCTTATTGGTTTGTAAATTATATACACATAAAAGAAGTTCTCTTTCTTCTCCACACACAAAGTATCACCACATTGTATTTTAAAGACTAACGGACTGCAAACTTGACTCATGGAGCCAAGTTCACTGGCTGGATTGTAGCATGTACAATTTATGTCCTTAAATCATATGACCATATACTCTGCAATAGTCTACATTTTATCATTTCTTTTTCTTGGGTAAGTGGGATGCAATTCAATTCAGCTACAATATTTCTGCATCTTATAGTCTACAGCAAATACCTGCTGAGATGCCTTTCACAAGGATGCAACATAAGCAAGGAGGAACAGCTCCTGAATCAAGCATTCAGTAGACTGTAGCAAGCAAAGGGGATCAAGGCTTACTGTTACAAGTGTAGGCTACAATCAGGGAATGGATCTCAAAATAAACACCCGTTTCTATTCTTATGTTTGATGACTACCCTTTCTTTCCTCTCATGTCAATTAAGCCACTAAAAATGCAGGCTCTCTTTGATCTTTTCACTCAATAAATATATACTAAAACACCAGCTAGATATCAAATGCAATGTTTAGAAGACCTTTCATCCTTTCTTCTTCCATTCCAATGGCATCATGCATATATAATCCTTTAATCTTGCATGTAGAAAACTGAAGTGGGTATGGTATGCATAATACCTCATCCTGTCTATGTCTAGTTCATCTTTCTTGTTACATTTTCTGAAAAGTATTCAGCTCCAGTTATATGACCAGATTACTCAAACACCTCTCCAAGCTCTCCCAAATTCAATGTAATGCTTCATGCTGGCATTTGAGGCCCTTTGCAATATGGCTTCAACCTACTTCTTTATTATATAATAGTCTTTTGTCAGCCTGAAATATTTTTCAATTTTTAAGAATTTAGTATGTATATGTGTGATTTCCTGCATGTGAATGAGCAAGTGTGTAGGTGTCCATGGAGTCTCCTAGAGCTAAAAGATTACATAGAAGAAAATGATTTTTTCATCTTCCTAAGACAGGTATTGCTATTAGCACAGGCTGGTCCCAAATTTATAATTCTTCTACCTCAGCCTTCAGAGTGCTTACAAGTGTATTGCTATACCCTGCTGGAAAAAAATTTTCTGAACTGCATAAATCTGTAAATGTCTTTATTTTGTCTTCAGATTTGTAAAGTTTGGCTTGATATCAAATTTCAGGCTGAAAACAATTTTGTCTCAGAATTTGGTGTCATTTGTCCATTACCTTCTAGCAACTGTGTTGCTTACAAGATGGGTGACACTAACCAAGATAAATTTAGCAGATCATCTTTTAAAATCATTTATTTTTTACATACAATATACTTTGGTCACATATCCCCCCCTCCAATTTCTTCCAGCTCTTCCCCACCTCCCATCTGCCAAACTTCATGTTCTTTCTCTAGCTCAAAACAAAACAAAAATAACAACAACAAAAAACCAAACCACACCAAACCAACATAAAAAGCAAAGGCCAAGAACAAACACCAACACGACAAAAAAAACCCCAACCCCCCCCAAAACAAAACAAAAAACCCCAAAATTAAACAAAAGCGTACATACAAAAAGCATGGAGTTTATTTTGTGTTGGCCAACTATTCCTGGGCATGAGGCTTACCCTGGAGTATGGTTGATGTACCCAGTGACATTCCATTGGAGAAAATTGATTTTCCCTTTCCCAGCAGGTGTCTAACTATGAATAGCTTCTTGGTTAGGGATGGGAGTTGTGTCTACTTCCTCTTCTCTGTGCTGTTTGTTTTTAATTTATTTATGTGTATAAGCATTTTCTTTGCATATATGTCTATGTACCATGTGCATTCCTGGTGCCCATGGAAGCTAGAAGAGGGTGTGGGATCCCACAGAACTGGAGATACAGATGTCTGTGAGATGCCACGTGGGTACTAGGAATTGAACCTGAGTCCTCTGGAAGCACAGCCAGTACTCATAACTACCGAGTCATCTCTCCAGCCTTAGATGTTCTTTTAAAAATATATTTAACATATTTTTGTGGTGTGTGTGTGTTCGTGTGTGTCTCATGTGTGACAAAATGCGGGGCAAAGGACAACTTTATAAAGTGAGTTATCTCCTTCTACTATGTGGCTCTTGGGACTGAACTCACGTAGCCAGGATTGGCAGCAAATGCCCTTACCCACTGAAGCATCTTGCTGGCCTTTATTATTTACTACTTACAGTTTTTTGAGACAGGGTCTCACCATATAACCTTGGCTGACTTTATTTTTTTTGAAACTCTATACTAATGAAGTAAATCAGAGTCTGCTTTCTCTGAGAGTACTAAGTGCTTAGATAATTTTATAATCTATGAATTCTTTATCTCTATGGGGAACTCTAATATTTAGTGATTTCCTGCCAATCCTTTTTCAGGGCTTCTATTTTTGCAACTTCCCTTTGGGTTAGATTTGGAATTATATATATTTAATCTCTTATGTCTTTACTTTCTGAGAAATTTTCTTGACTATCTTCCCATTTTTATATTAATTTTTTTTGAGAAAGAGTCTCACTATGTAACTCTGGCTGTCCTAGAATTCACCCTGTAGAGTGGGCTGTCCTCAAACTCACAGAGATCTGCCTGCCTCTGCTGGGATTAAAGGTGCACACCACCACTGC